ACTTGTTTCATCTTGGCATCTGCTTCCTCAGAAGTACCGTGGGGACAATGCTGTGCACCCATTTCACTGCAGCCTTGTGTGTAGTGCTGCGGAAAATAAAACAAAAAAGCAAACAGAACGAAACAAAGAAACCCACCCAGACAAAATCAGCTGGGGTCAAACAATGTTCTGTTCAGCCTGAAACAAAAGTTTTGTTTTCAGGTCATTTAGCTCATTTTTTTCTTTCTTTCCTTTTAACAAAAAAAGAAAAGAGAAAAAAAAAAAAAAAAAAACAAAACTAAAACAAACAAACAAAACCAAACCACTGAGATCACTTGTAAGTTGAAAACAAAGTGTTTTTACACTGGGGGAAACTTCATCCTCTTTTCCCCATACTGTCTGACCAGTCCAAACTTGCATTACTGAGTTTTCTACCTACTTTACAGAATATTCACCTAGCTCGACTTGCAGAGCTTATATTTCCACTAAGTACTATACAAACATCAGATGGAAGACTCTAAAGTGCAAATTATTTTTGCATTTGGGAAACAGAAGTGACAAATAGAAAACAAGTTGCCACTCTATCAGTATTTTTAATGAAGCCTCATGTCTGGTAAAGTACATGAGGTTGAGACTAAATGCTTCACTGGACCACTGTATGTTTGATGATGTACTTAATGTGAAAAGATTTTCTGAAACCCAGTTGAAAGGGTAGTGGGGAAGGTACGCAAACAGCAGTTCAGTCAGAGGGCACTGAAAGTAAAGGCAATGATTCTCTAAAAAAGGCAGGGAAACTTTCTATGTGCTGTCCTCTATATTTGGATGCTCCTTTGGGTGACAAGTGCACAACCCTATAATAACATCTGCAATGAATTTAGAGGTAGAAGAGTCCCTTGTAGAAGGGGTAATTCCAGCAGGTTAATGTCCTAATCCTTGTACATATTATTTGCTCCTAATGCCACAAACGAAAGAGAACGCTTGAAAATAAGGTGAGATTTACATAATGCTGATTGCATTTCACAGTGCAGCAGCAGCAAAGTCTTTAGTTATTCAGGTCAGCTCTCACACCAGCAACTGCACCTCTGCAAAGCAAGTTGGGGATACAATCACACTATAAGCCAGAGAGGATGAAAACCCATTTATTTTGATACATTTAAAGCTCTCCCAACATTGTGCATTCCAAATGCAGCCAGAGACGAGAAAGCTTTTAAGGTTTGTTTGGCTTCTGCTTGAGAAAACTCAGCCTGGGGAGGGCAATGACCAAGGGATGGGAGGCAGAGGCTGAAAGTAAGCAGGGAGCAAGTGAAGTAAGTAAAGGGAGTGGGAAGCAAGAAGTGGGATAGCGAGGGATACTTCAGGTCAGGAATGAAGTGTATTGAAAGATCTCCTCTTGCAGTTCAGCACTGCTGTAGCCGGCGGGACTGCTGGCAGGGAGCAAGGCTCTACAGGAAGGTGGTCAGTGAGCCCAAGGTTAGGATAGCAGTGGGTGCTGTGGGTCAGGCGCTCGGCACAGCTGGAGAGCTTCGGGGAGAAAGGAGTACTCTGCTCTGCACTTGCTGGAGGAGGCAGGGTGCACTGCAGGGTCTGTGCAGAGGCAGCTTGCTCGTTTACTCAACTTTTGTGCTGCCATTGGTCCAATGCCTGCTTAAGCTCTCCATTCCTAACAGCTTTTTTTTTTTTTTTTTTGCATACTTAAAAACCAGAAATACTCATGCAAATGTACGTGTGTTGATGAAAGCCACACTTTAGATGCATAATTTAAGGTGCAATCAGAAATATACTTCGATTTTGGCAGTGCTTACAAATGGATTCGTACCCTAAGCTTTACCTCACACTGAAAATGGGCGAAGAGAAATAAGAGTTTGTGCATAATCCACCATGCTGCTTAGTAAGCAAACAGGAAAGACAACGCAAAACACTGTTTGGGGAAAGGAGAGAGTTATCTGAGAAATACACTATTAGGTGTACCTTAGATAATTACTGGTGTTAGACTAAAAACTCCTCTTCACACTGATGCAGAGAGCCTTTTCACAGGTGAGACTGCCAGCCCACCGAGCCAACTATCTAGATAGAGTCAGAGCAAATCTGAAAAGCCAGTACCCACCACAGAAGCCAGTTGTTTCCATCCCTGATGATGAGGGAGCAACTTCTGTAAATAGTATTTGACCCAGTAGCCAGTGAAGTGAATGGAGAAGCTTCAGTTGCCTTCAGAGGACACAGTAAGGGGTAAAACAGCCATGACGGCGTGCAGACGTTCAGAAAGTTTTTGGCCCAAGAAATATCCCCCATATGAGTACCTCAAATTCCACACCACAAGCTGCAGTGTGCTGGGCCACCCTCACAAGCACAACGGCAGAGTGTTCGAAATGGTGGAAGGGCCTTGCCCGCACTGCGGGAGTGCTGCAGTTCAGAGTCATGTGCAGAATGACACCTACCATCATTACAACCTTTGCAGGGGAAAAAAAAGAGAGACACTTATTAAAATTGCTTCCATTTCTGAGTGTCGTGCCCATAATTAGCTACAACTCCACACTGACTATGCTATAAGGCACTGTGAAAGAAATTATGGGAAGGCAGTTTTTAGTCAGCCCCTCGAGTTTTAAGAAAATAATTGCTTAAGGTTCATAAATAATAATTATTTCAATTGATGAATCATTTTGACTCATTTTAGGTTTCAAGTAATATTTAATAATGCCATGCAGTAAAGTAATTGTGGAATTAAGAATCCATTCATCAGTCATGTATGTTCTTATTTGAATTAGATCAAGTTAAAATTACCATTTCTTTTTTAGAAGGAGAATTTAAATGACAGTCGATGTGTTCATTTCACCAAGAGTATAGAAAAATCTAATGTTAAAAGACTGTAATCAAACCTTGTCCCCCTATATTCTTTCACACACACAAACCCACACAAACATACTGTCTCCCTCTCCAAGTGTGTAAAACTTTGTTCTTACAGCCCAGAAAACATTACACTTGAGTAACCTTTCACATAACATTTGAGTAACCTTTCACACTGAACTGAGAGTCTCTTTCTCCAAGTGAAAATCATGCTTTTGAGGTCAGTCCAGGCATGTCAAACACAGGATTTGAGACTGAAAAGAAAAATGTCCAAGATAATGAAAAATGTGCTTCTCTCTCCCGGGAGTTTTACAAAATTATTTTTATGATCAGAAATAATTTACTGATGGGAAATGAGATGCCAGTTACAAGGAAATTCAACATTAGTCCCAACAGTTTGTCCTGTGAATTGCTCACAAATCTCAAAGCACTTGATCAGTGATACATTCCATAACCCAGGGTGATGTGGTGCAGGAAACCCTGCGTCCACGTTACAGATGAGGATGTGAGTTTGAGAGACCCTAACCACAGTCTGAAGTGCTCTCTCATCTGTTCCTTTCTTCATCTTCTTCGCGAGAAGACAATCCCTCTCCCTGTCAGAAGGGACAAAGGAGTGTGGAGTGGATTTTTGGAGCCTGATAGAACATCATCTGCAGGCAGATGGGGAAACAAGACTCAACCAAGGGGGGATCAGAAAAGCAAAAGGGAATACTAGAGCAAAAGCTGTCATTTGGGTTTTTCAAGTGAAATGTTAATCAGGACCTAGTGAAGGTTCTTTAAAGCAGCTAATGTCTCACCATGGCATGGGAGCCAGGATAGGGCTGAACCAACCACAGTCAATACTCCTTTCATGGGGTGGAGAAGGAAGTGCTGATGTATTTTCAGGCAGTGATGAGGTCAGAAGATCTTTCAGAGTCTGACCTGGCAGCCATGAGAAATGGAAAGTGAGGATCCCACCAAGGCACGGGATCAGCCTGGTCAGTCCTCTTGTAAGAGTAGAGGGCTAGAAGAGAAAAAAAGCTACTTAAAAAAAAAGAAGGAAAGGGCTCAAGATTGATGAGGTGGGCAGTAGCTCATATTTACATATCTGGGGCCTCCTTGACAGCAGAAAAAATAAGTTAACCCAAAAAATAGAAATCTAATCTACATTCACTTCCCAACTTGTCAAAAGCCCTCAGTGTAAAGCAGCCACACTTGGCTGCACAGAGGTGTTCCACAGAGGGACCCCGACCAATAAATCTGTTTGATTTCCTGTTATGAGAAGCAGACAAAGAGATATGGCTAGGGATGGGCAGAGCTGTCTGCATAAGGGAAGAGCCTGTGCTTTCACCCCAAACTCAAACCTACTCTCTCCGAGGTTAGGAAAAGTTCAGTTCACTTTGGGGATTTTTTAGCATTATTTCTCATTTTCACATCTTCCCGTGGGAGCTGGAAGTAGATGGGACAAAGCATTTCTTTCCTGCTGGCAACAAGCAGCCCTGAAAGTGTCACACAGAAGTTTGTTCTTGAGATTTCCAGTCCAAGGGTGTGATCTTGCAACCCCTCCAGATGTGAATAACGCAGCGGCATTTTTAATGGTTTTGCTGTTGGTGAGAATTTCTTGGCATTACTCTGCAAGTGTTTTCTCCCCACCACTTCTTCCTTGCTTTCTTCGCCCCTTCATCCAGTGCATGTTACACATAAACAGAAAAGGAAAACAAAGTTTTCAGATCGAAAAGACTTTTTTTTTTTTTTCCCAAAACCCTGGGGAGAACCTGCACAATGGTAACAATATTGCAGAGCAGCAGCTGTTTGATAAGGTTCCTCTCAGGAGGTGACATCAGACGTCAAATGCTATTTTGCCCACAGTACATAGACTAACAGCCCGATCCTGCAGTCCCTGACCAATAGACGTTTCATGGCATAAAGTTCCCAGAAAGTATAGCAGGCCCACGACAACATTTGAAAGCAATTAGGATGAACATGGTAGCAGTTCAATGTATTTTCTGAAACACCATAACTAATACCCAGTGTTTCTGCAAATGTATGCTTTCAGTGCTGCTGGTAATTTCCTTACCACTTCAGTAGCCTCACTAAATCATCACTTAGCGATCACAGCGAAAAGTTTCAAAACCTTTGGCAGAAACAGCACCATGACCATTTGCTCATTTGCATTTATTTTGTTGTTTTTCTTTCTTCAGAGAGACCCAAAATCTATGAAAAGGAAACTGATTTTGATAAGATCGTGCGGGTGGAATTAAGAAGCAAACACAAAATTCAGTGCACTGCAAGCGGGAATCCTGACCCGAAGATTGAGTGGAAGTGGCAGCCCTGCAGCCCCACAGGCACACTGTAAGTGGACATTCCTACAGATGAATATGCTGTTAAATAGTTTGGTAGTTTCAAGTCAGTTTTTCTTTCCAGTACATCTTATTTATCCTGGTTAAGAATCACAAGCAGTGATTCCCCACCTAAAGATCTCAAGGGTTATGAACCCAGAAGACATCTAGTTGTGTATGATCTTTTTGGAGTTACAAGCAAAATTGTGTCAAGTAAGTTTAAAGCGACTAAACATCAGGCTTGAATTTTCTTTAACTTGACCAGCAATGTCCCTCTGACTTACCAAGGTCTTTTCTTACACCTCTTGGGTGCAGCCTACATAGTTGACAAAGAAAAAACAGGTAGTTGCTTTCTGTGTAGAGGTAACACACTTTTTTTTTCCCTGTAAGAGCTATTGTCAGGGAAACCTGCTAAAGGCTTGGCTTCATTTAGTTGCCATATGGAATTTATGCCACTTCCTAAGGGCTGTCTTCTCTAGTGCACACTGAGCCTGGGCTCCTGTGGCAGCATCTGTGTTCCAGAAGCTGGAAAAGGTAGCCAAGCCTCCATGCCTTACTGAGGGCCCTTCTTTGCTAAAGTCTGGAGGCAGCCTCAGGTGTGAAGACACAGAAGCAAGTCACTGGGTCAGAACTGTCAGGAAGGAACGAAGCAACTTAAAACATAAGATGCCTTTTGAGATTCACCTTATACAAGTAGACAATTTCTTTGCTCCTGCCATTATATGAGCACAGTGATCTAGAGAAAGAGGTCTTGGCTGAGGTCTGAATACTTCCCCTGGTAGCCCCAGGGGAGATACGGGAGCCATGTATAACATTTCTGACTGCTGAAGGCAGGTTTTCCATCCATAGAAAAATTAAGGCATGCCTAGGAAGCAAGAGAGAAAATTACTGGACAGTTCATTATTTCCTCACCATTCCAATGTTTTTCCAAATATGCATGGCAAGCCATGAAACAGGGAAAAATCACAGAGAGAAGCTCCTTTCCCAGGTTCTCCGATGCAGCAGTTGCAGTGCTGTTGGATAATCTAGTCTCAGGATGGGTCTAAAAAGTGACCTTGTGTCCCTCCACAAGGGAAGTAGCCCATTGCCTCATTTAGGTAGTTACACTGCTCCTGCAGGAATAAAACGGCTGAGATTTGTAGGCTTAGGTAGGGCTGTTGGCATAGCGGGTCAGCAGAAGGCACCTAAGACGCTGTTCAACAAGAGCAGAATGGAAACTCCATAAGGAAACAGGTTATGCATTCTGTAGGAAAGCCACAGAGATGACCTGAAATCTTTTCCAGACCTTTCTGTCTAGGGAGAGAGACTGGGTCATGAACGCCGAATTAAGCCAGATTCGAACCAGTGACCTGGTGGCAAAAGACCTCGTATAACCCTTGTTCCAGCTCTCTGACTCTCTGATCTTATCAAATTAAATACAATTGCAGAGTGGCGTCTACCTCTTCTGGCCTCCGGGGCAGCCTTATCTTTTTCCAGCAGAAGCTGTAGGAGGATTCCTGTGGGAAATGACACAGACCCCATTTCCTTCTGTTGTCTCACTTCCTCTCTCTCTCTCTTTCTCTCCCCCCTCCTCACTAGTGCACTTTGAATCCCAAAACACTATCATTGTTCCTTATAGCTGTGATGTGATTTGCTTCCTTTGATTTTTTTCCCTTCATCCTCAAGACAGAATTGTGCCTTGCAGGAAGACACTCAAGACATCTTCTAATTAGGCTCTTTTGAGAGCTATAAACCCTCCCTTGACCCAGGGTGTTACCTATGCATCTTGTGAGGGTTTGGCAAGGGCACGGCTGGTTTATGGATTAGTTTTCTGCAGCATTGACACTTAGTCACCACCTATAGAAGTCCGTATTCATTTTACCTCCTATAATCCTAATCTGCTACGGTGGGCTCAGGGGCTGCTGGGATGGGCCATGGGAAGCACGGTGCTGAGGCAGAGGAGGCAACACGGACGCTTTCCTGTGCCCTCAGCCAGGATGCCTGGAGCTCCAGTCTTGCTAAAGCCTTTGCATTCCTAAGCATGAGACAGCCCGGGTCTCCGCTCATTTATTCCAAGGACTGTAGTTAAAGAAGATAAAAAAGCCTTTTGCCTTGGATGGTGCAGATACAACTTTCTGCGTTATGTGCTACACACGCTGCTCTTTGCCCGTAATTCAAAAATGAAGATCGATAACCAACAGATATGGTTATCTTCTGGGGAATATGCCATATTAAAGGAGCCTTCTGCTACTGTTATCCCAGTATTTATCCATTCTACTCCCTCAGCCCACACTTCATGTTGGAAAGCTGAGCGGACAGACAGACACATGCACCTCCCCACAGTTTTGAACGACTAACATTTTGAATTTTGAAATCCACTGCAAGTGCTAAAGGAGCACTTACAAAGCCACAACTGCATTGAGTTGGAGTATAACTCATATTAGTCAGATTAAACTCACATGATTTAATTAGTTGTCCGGTATTTTATGTTTTCAATCTTCAGAAAGTTTGGGGGGTTTCCTTGCCAGTCATACACTGATCTTTGTCTACCTCTGTCAAGGTGCTTCCTAAATAATTTTGAAACATTGTGGTGAAGAAATACCATAGTTTCAGAAAAAGGTAACAATGTCCAGCAGCAATAGTTTTTAGGAGCTTTTAAGACCTAAGACTATTGTCTAAGAATGACATTCTCTCTCTTTAATAATGCCTCCCTGGGTTATCTGCAGAGTCAGGTTCTTGAACACCACCTTTGCTTTTCTACCTCCAGATGCAACCCTGATGGGGAAAAAATCGTGGTTCAGGAGAACACGTTCATAGGCAACAAGATCCGAAGCATTGAAAACATAACCATGAAGCATGGGGATAAAAAAAAGGTATGTGTCCGACGAAAATCTGAGCAATGATGTCATGGAATAGCAGTGGGTTTTACGGAGGGGACGCTGCGCTCACACGGAGCTCTCTCCTCGCGGTTCCCAAGCTGCCGCGGGTTGTTAGCATGCTTTAAATTCCACAGCTCTGGGATCATTTTCAGATCTCTGCTGTTTATAAATGCTGGGATTCTGGCAATGATGTCACATACCCTGTTTAAAACTCTCCAAAGACTTTTGGGTCAAAAACCTGTCTGTCTCCCTCAGTCTTGAGAAAATGTAAGACTGGTTCAGTGCGAGAGGGGTCCTGTGAAGCGCACACAACTGATAAGGACTCTAAGTTCATTAAAGTGCTTAGCACTTAGAGAGCACTTTGTACTGCCCAACCCTGCCTACTCTCCCAGTAGCAGGAGTTAAACAGCTGTGTCATTTAAAAGGCCTACGGTGGCCAGAGATAGCTGGCCTGATTTTCAGTGTGTAAGTGCCTGCAGTCCCTGCCTGTTTTGGCTGGAGTTTTCAACATCTCTTTACCCATTTGGGCTGCCAATCGTGTTACTGAGCCAATGAAGGTGGGAAGACCTCCTTCCTTCTACACTTCCCTGCTTGCTTCCCCTTCCAAGCAGCACCGGGAGCACACTTCCTGCGTGAACTGCAAAGGTCCCAGCCGTGAATTATCTGTTTGATGCCTCCCGGGTACCTGTGATGATACTGAGCGATGCTGTTTACACACATCCGTGCTAATCCTTGGGAAATTGCTGCAGCTGCTCTGCTGTAGATTCACAGACTTCTGGCAATGCCTTGCAGAAGATGCTGTGCTTTGGCTCAGACAGTTGTTTTACCCCTATTGGACTCATAAAGGTTTGGGGCTTTAGGAGTGGTTTTGCAGCTACAGGTTTTGAGGTGGATGGTCCAGATAGTTTAGTGCCTAATCCTGCAAGGTGCTGAATGCTGCAGTTCGTATCCTGGTACACCTTTAAGCATATGATAATTCTTGGGCTACTCCCATGCTTAAAGTTAAGCACAGAGCTAAAGTGCTCTTCTGGATTGGGTCCAGACTAAATCAGCATCTGGCAGGATCAGTGCCGTCGCCATCTGCTCTTTCTCATGGAGACTTTCCAGCTCTAAACATAATCTAAAACAGAGCTCTGAAAACATGGAGGTTGGTCTGGAAAGGAGAAAATCAGTGTTCACATTTCATTCCTGAGTTTTCCCCTTGCTGGAAGATATTTATAAATTGGATTTATTTAGGTGACCCTTTAAGCTCTTTTAATGTATTCTCTAAGAATTTTAGATCTTAGGTAAAAGCAACTTCCTACAAAGTGCTAACTACTTGTAAAAAATGGAGGTTGGTGACATGTACCTACAAAGTTTCTTCCTTTTCTCAGACTTTCTAGTTGCTGCATGGTCTGACGAGAGTTTTGCAGCTCTCTTGGCTACTGGTTCTCTCCATATATACAGTCTGTCTAAATATATGATCTGGTGTCCAAGAGCCTAGTTTACATCTGACGATCGGTCTTAAAGTTATGTTAGTCCCCATATTAAAGTGAAGGGTTTCACAACTGCTGTAACTCAAAAAATATCTGTTGGTTGCTGAATTGTCCCTCGTGCTGGGATAGTGAGACACCTCAGCAACACAAAATTAGAAATTTTTTTTGTTTGTTTTATGTATATGTACACCACTCCCATTTCTTCTTTTACTAACTTTGCTGAGGCAAATATGCAGCTGGGTGAAATTTTAGTCTGCTAGTGCACTTAAGATGGGATTTAGCTGCAGCCTCTGAGTGAGGTGGTTTAGGAGTGCCACAGAGCTCCTGGATCCAGCGGGGCACTGCAAACACATCCTCAGTCTATGTTGGTGCATGATGAGGGACCTCTCAGCTTTCCCCTATCCCCTAGTTTCCCCAGAAAGAAAAGGTGCAGTGATTTCCAGGTACAGCAATCAGAGGAGAAACAGTGCTCCGTGCCCACAGAGGACATCAGAACACCCACCCACAGTCAGTCTTGAAAGCACCATGTGCCTGAGTTTCCTGCCTGTAGAACATGGTGGACACCGTTGTGCTAGAAGGGAGGCACACCTGGGGAGATGCTTTGTGGAAATGAGGACCCTAAGGGAACCTCAGTCCAAGGACCCCACCCAGTCCTCAGGACTCCTCTTGTTCCCGAAGAGCTTTGCTGCTGCTCACACCTTGAGTACCACAAAGAGCCCCAAGGCTGCTCCTCGCTCTGCCCTGCGCAGCCGCCTCTGCTCTCTCTATAGACTCCAGGCATCCTGAAGCATTTGTTGTTTACACATGTTCAAAAGCTCAGCCCACAACCCTCTGACTTAAGATTTTACATATTTCATTATTGAAGTTTCATAAAGATACTTCTTTACAAGTTACATAATTTTACAATTTATAGTATATTCATTATTTTCATCTCCTGCTGATACACTGGTTGAAAACACATTCTGAGGTGTTTGCTAGTAATTTTTATGTCCTGATTAAGATTTATTCAAATTAATGAAACTAGTTTTTATGAATCTCAGGTTTCAGCACTTTGTCTCCCTTCTTACATTAGCAGACAATTCCTCTCCCTCCCCCTTTCTGAAGTCCAAGGCTATCTGTGTTAAGTGGAGTCTTTAGATAATAGAATATAATTCAAAAAAAGACACTGATGAAAACTCATAGCCTTCAGAATTTTCATTGGTTTTTATCAGTCATTATTCCCACCAGAAATGGAATAGACAGGAAACAGCCCAATCCATTCCCACCATGTCCTAGCAAGTAATTCATCTGCATTGACTAGCCAGATGAAATAATAAAGATGTTGGAGTCTGACTGAGCGTGGCTTTTATTACCTGTGTTATGAAGCTGGGATTAGCTGAGATTGGTTATTTTTCCTGTGTGATTTGAGCCTGTCCAATGATAGCTGGAGTCTCAGAGCAGAAGGTGGAATTTACCTAGTCTCTAAGATTTCTCAACATCCCTAGAGTTTACCCTGGAAGAACCATAGCAATACATGCTGGTTCCACGACACATGAAAAACTGCATTAACTTTTAAAAGCTGCTAAGAATGTGAGAACAAAACCCTAGAAATTACCAGATCCAGAATCTTGCTCAAAAGCTAGCTAGCTTGCAGGGCAGCAAGCAAGGGTTTTGCAGCAGACCTCTGATGCTTGATGTGATCTTTGATTACATTAAGATCTTTAGACATCTATTTGACAAAAGTGGCGTGTAAAACTGAGGTCTCTTGTCATCTTTGTCGTAATGATTAGTCCATTATTTTTCCACAGATAGAAGAGTGAATTTCACCCCCTCCTGTATTCTAAAGGTTGAGTCTCATTCCTAAAAAAAACACGTGGTTATCGTTAACATGATGTACTTCAGTGAAGTTTTGGTCAAATAGTGGTTGCGGCAATTGCATCATGCTAGTTTAATTTTCCCAGTGGTTTTGAATCTGTATTGAACTTTTCACTTTGTGATTTAAACTACTTTGTAGCTGCCTCTGAAGACTGCTTTTTAACACGAGGTGAAACACCCATGATTGCATGAATTGCCTGAATTTCCTCTCGAAGTTGCAAGGAGCTAGGTTGCTATTTTATTTTCTTTCCTGTTAGCAAACTGAACATACTGGTATGAGCTTGGGACAACAGGACATAGCAGAAAAGAATAGCAAGTTCCATACATAATTCAGTCCTCATTGGGGGTTTATTTTCACCTCTTTTCTCCCTTTCATGTGTATGTAAGAGAGTGGCCTGGCCACATGGATGTTTCTGCAATGAAACTTGTACATCCCTTTTGCTGGTGAAATTCATAACCACTCAAGAAAACTGACCCCCAAATGCCAGGTTTAAACCTCTTGCAAGAACAAAAAGACTACATTAGTAGGAGGATGCGTTTGGACAAAAGCATGTGAGCAACTCAGTAGAGCTGTTTAAATCTGTCACCCTGTGTGGGTGCCCGTTTCAGTGGGCTCCCACAAGCCTCGTCACCTTAGCCTCTGGCAGGAGAAGGTGAACAGCCAAGCGGCTGGGTTTTTGAACAAAGCATCCACTCTCTGGGAGACAAGCCCCGATGTTTCAGGCACTACCCAAGCACAGGAGCTCGTGGAACACTACACTGTCCTTGGCAGGTCTTCTTGAGAGAGCCTGGCTAGCAGCAGGGACATAAGAAATCACTCTCTGTCTTCCCTGCCCTTTTAATTTCATTAGCTGAAATCACTGGGTGCGAGGAAGAAGCATGAGGGTGGTAATTGCTCGTGACTAGCCAGCACCTGCCCTAGGGCCAGCGAGTGATCGGTCCATACATACTAGAAATGTATACTAGTTCCTCCAGAGGTGCCTCAAACCTCTGGCTTTCCCCAGTTTCCTGCCCTGTCCAGCACCTTTGCTGATCCCAGGGTGCTACCATCAGCTCTGCCACACTCTGTGAGGAAGGAATGATTGTTCTCATTTCACAGGGAGAGGAACGCCCACTGCCAGAGATGAGAGCAAACCCTAGAAGTTCTCAGTTAACTCAGAGACTTTTATCACTTGTCCTCAGTCCATCCTTTAACATGTTTTGAATGAATGAACGAAAATCATGGATTAGAATGGTTAGGCTATAAAAATAAGTGTGATTCTGTGCCATTCAGGTAGATGGATTGGGAGCTAGCTGAATATTTTCTTGCGGGGTCTCTGGTGAAGTTCCTATAATTTCATCTCCCTCTAGCCACCTCCACCCCAGCTCTGCCAGATTTAGACAGCTGAGAAGTTTTCCACCCACTTTTTCTACTCCTCATCCTCGCCCACATAGAGCTAACGAAGTGAAAGAGAGAAGAATTGTTAACTAAAGCTGTTGGAGGGAAGGATTAGACAAAGGAAAGAGAAAGCAAGGAATAACAAGATATATTAATTCATGCTGGCTCCAGCTTAAAAAAAGGTCTTGCTGCTCTGTCCTTACTACAAGATGTCTCAAAACACTCATAGTATATGGCTATGGAATGTTATTTGGCTGCTTCTAAAATAGCTTGGTTTTATCAGTTCAGGAACATTACAGTGCAAGACATACGGACTTGATTGAACTATTCCATTATGAGTTTTCCCAGCAGTAATGTCTATTTACTTGTCATAGCTGTTCTTCAGAGATCAGTCATCTCATTTCTTTTCTTATTGAGTTTTAAACTTAGTTTATTCTTTTATAGTAATTATTTATTAGCTAATAATCCCTTCTTTGGGCTCGCAGTAGTGGGTGGCCTTTAGGTTAAGCAATAGGAAATGGAGCCCCTTACTTCCAAATTCAACACAGGCAATCAAAGCTGGTCCAAAGGATGTTTGGTGTTTGGTATGCAGTGAACTCACAGGATCTCAGTCCAGCTCCCACTAGGAAGATGTCTAGACATTAAATGCCAATAATTTGTTATTAATTACCATTGGTTCCAGAAGAGTCTGCACAGAAGCTAAGGACTGAACAGCCACATAGCTTGTGCTCCCACTTGTAGCTGGAGTACATTGTCAAGGGTTAACGTGTCATTTAGTCTGAACTGCTCTTGATTAGGACATCCAGTGGAAGGCAAACTAAAAAGTGCAAACTTCCAGGCTGTAAAGAGTTCATGAATAGTAATTTTGTTGAAGAGAGACAATGTTTCGAGGCAACTGCAGATTTCACATCAGCATCACTATTTAGGCTTCACAGAAAGTGCTGTGCTCTGTCCGGGAGCAGAGTTTTCTGAGCAAAAGGCATGAGAAACAGCTTTGATGTGAGCCCTGCTTTGAGTAAGAGGTTGCATAGGAGATCACCAGTGGTCCCACACAGCTACAGTCATGAGTCTAGATGCAGCAAATGCCAACATGTCTCAGACTTTTCTACCCTGGCTCTGATTCCAGGAATGGAAAATACTTTGCCAGGTGCACGAACGAAGCACACAAAGTAGATTATCCCCTCAGAATTTTTTCCACTCTATACTAAAGGTCCCCAAATGTTGGGAGTGTGCCACTCCACTGACAGAGAGAGAAGTCTGCTAACAGCTTTCACTGTTAATGGTGGGTAAAGATTCCTATGTTTGGTTGATCAAGTTCAAACCACTTTCCATTCAACGATTTTTTTTTTGCAGACTTTCATTGAAATAGTTGCATTGAAAAGTATAGGGCTGGCATTCAGAAGAACAAAATCCTTATCCCTACCTGCCACTATGACCAAGTACAGACAAATTTCAAATTTTCAAGTTTGTTCAACTTGGGTTGCCTACAGTAACAGGTGATAAACAACTGCCAACACATGAACGCTATGGGGCTTCACATCTGGGTTGATAGGAATTACTTTTCAATGGAAGCTCCTTGATTGATTTCAAGGAAACATCCTTGATCTACAGATACTTCAAAAAGCAGATACCACTGCTGACTTCCTAAATGTTTCTTTCAGGTTTCTTTTGGTAAAAGACAAACCTATGTGGTCATATAAAGGGAAGGAGGATTTGGATGCTTGGATGCCCTTTGGTATAGCATGTTGGTGTTCCAAAGCATCATTCTGTTGAGGACTAAACCAATATTAGGTTGCTTTGGCAACTGAGATCTTTATTTAAGATGCTGGACAGATAATTGGACTCCCAATCTCAGGGATTTACCTGGGAGCATACACCTAGACTGAAAAGCTGGTGCATAATGATTTCAAGGGATTCATCTTATGACAAGAAAATTACTCAAAATCCTTCATTTCCAGCTCTGAAATCACATATATTTCTCTGCTGGATGCTGCTGCTTTAAAAGTCACATGTTGGAGGACTTTGGAGGTGCTAGTTCTAAGATAAGACAGTAAAGTGCGCTCTCTCTTGTGCTCAGGTGTGTAGCAAACTGGTTTCCAAGTTCATAACAGTGATTTTGAGCATTCAAACAAAAAAATTACTTTCTCTCTTTTCCTCAGTAAATTTTTCCCAAGAATTTGTCCCCAGATTGTTTCCCACCACCATTTTAACACCTTTTTCACCTTCACATCTAGACACAATTGAGATTAGCTAAAATGAGGTCGCGATATAGGTACTTGCTCCTTTTTTTTTTTCCCCACTACCATGTCAGATTTTTCTTGAGTTATGCAGTTAGAGACGCTAGCATCTGTGTGTGTTCATGTAGAGCATGCATGTGCATTTACCTCTGGGCCACCAAATGCAGCTTGAGGCATTGCTTCAGTTTTTAGAAGAGTCACAGTGTCCCCCCTAACACTCCGGACATACTCCAGAAGGGGTAAGTACATTCCCCTTTACGATTTTAACTGATTCTACAGTATTATCCTTGACTTCCCATCTAGAGCTGTCACTTAGCAAGACTAATAGCTCTTAAATAGCCGTCCAAATTTATCCCCTTCTGTCCTCAGCATGTGCATTTATATTGGCTTTTTCTATTCCCAAATATAAAATACTAAGATTCAGTAATCATGAGATGACAGATCTTGGTCCTGATTCAGCAGTAATTCAAAAGGCAATGTCTGCTGCTTAAAGTCAGGGGTAGTGCTCAGAACGTGTGCTTGTTAATAACCGGTGGCATCGGGCCATTGCTTCAGGAATAGGAAAAGGAGGAGGAGCAGACTGCTTCTCCGGGTGATTTTATATCCAAGTTAGAGCTATTTTCACATCATAAATAAGTCAGAACTGCACAGCTCTTTCTTTGGTGGACACCAGAGGGAGCTGGGTTTGTTGGTCTCCTGTTTTCACCCCTGAATTCGGTTTGTCCCTCTTCTTGGGTAATTTCTGTGTTTGGTGCCCATGAAAAGTAGATACTTTTCCACTTACCTGTTATTTTGTTGAAAATGTTCCCCATTAGAATGTAAAATGCACATGGGATCAAAACCTTTGAAACTCATTTCCCTACAGGATTTAAAGTGCCAAAGCTCAGAAAATCTTAAATAACTCTCTGGAAATACATCCCACACAGCTATAGACACATTCATGGTGCAGCTTTATGAGGAGTAAAGGAATGTCTTGCGTGAGTTTAGTTTAGGATATTAAAAAGAAAGTCCAGAGATGCTTTTGTACACTTCAAAGCACTCTCTGGAGATAAGGACAAAGGGCCAGAGGGTGTTATAAGTTTTGATTCTCAAAGTCCTTAGAGAGGACGGCAAAGAAAGTGATATTTGTTCCAAATGTGAGGGCTCAGAGTTCCTCAGGTGAATGGCTGCAGGGGAAGCAAAGTAATCTTGCAAGGACAGCTCCATCTTGGTGGGTTAGACCCTGCTTGCTTGCTAGCAGCCCAAGGGAAGCACTAGAAATAATTAAAGCCATGACCTGCGGATAGCCCTCCATGAGCTTGTGATGTTGCATCCTGACCGGGGCAGGGGCGTGCCGTATGGCTGGCTCCTCATTAAGGAGGCCCTATGCAGAAGCAGGGGCTTAGGATGGTTAAGGAAACAAGTTCTTAAGGATGTGTTTGTGTTCAGCCCCATGAGTAACCTTTTTCTACGTGGTGAAGCTCAGAGAAGTGTTCCTTCCTTCTCTTTCATTATCCTCCCTTTCTTTCTGCGTTTGCCAAGTGTCTCAGCACAGGCAGCTTCTCCAGAGTTTCCTTACACAAGTTCTGGTAAGGCTCTGAGGAAGGGCTAAGGAATCAAGGGGCTTCCAAGCACAATTTATAAGCGTGAGCCAGGGCCCAAAGGGGCCACACCCCTCCCTCCCTTCTCTGGGGTTATAGCAAAGCAAAGCAAAATCTTGCATTGTTCTTTATACCACATCCATATGAATGACCTGCTTCCCATGCAAATGTAGGTGTCCTGTTACCCACAGAAACCATAACTGAAAAGCAGAAAAGAAAATAGGTGGATGTGGAGCTTCATTTCCAGTATCTTAGATGAACCTTCCAGGTTCTTCACTTTTGCTTTTTGCTGATGTTGTCACACGAAGACCTTGGCAGTGTGTCAGAAGGGAACCCTGTTTTTCACAGGGGCGACAGGAAGAAAGGAAGGGGAAGGTTTAGGTATGAGGAGGGAAGAGAATTAACTGGGCTGAGGTGATGTGAGATGAGAGACCAAAAACCTAATAGGAAGCACTTGTCTGCTTGTGAGCTTCACTCATTACTAGAAGCTCCTTTGTTAACTGTTTTTCTACCATAAAACATATACTTACCTGCTACCCTCAAGCCTCTCTGATAAGCCTACAGTACACCCAAAGCCTTTACTTTTTCTCTCTTTGCTTGGCAGATTGTGAGCACACTAACTATGGAAAACAGCAGTGCATCTGGCATCTATTACTGTGTGGCTTCAAACAAGATCGGCGAAGAAGAGAGGAGCATTGAATTCTACGTTTCAGGTAAACAACACGAGAGACACTACACAAAAACTAGATGCTGATGATCTGATTTACCTTAAAGTTTTATATGGCTGGTGGGTGCTTGTTAAAACTTCTGGGAATCCCTGCATGTTATGTTTTCAGTCCCAGGCTCTTTACCACATGCAAGGTTGGGTCCTGCATCAGTGCCCAGCTGAGTTTGACATGTCCAGCATCAGACCTGCTTCCCCTTTTGACCTTTTCAAGCTGCAGATACAGGCCCTGAGTCTAGCTGCCTGTGTCTAAAAGCAACACTCATGATATTTGAGCGCTGGCCTCATGAAACCTCTAGCAAAAGTGAAGTCCTTTGTAGGCTTCCAAAGGCTTGAAGCTTCTCCCTGACTCAGAAGAATTGTTGGTGCCCAATTAAGTCGGCAGACGTAGCAAAGGTGAGCAAGGCCAATATTCAGACCTAATCCAGGGCTGATATCACTGGGAGTTGTTGTGACACTGGATCCCTGCCTGAGCAATTAGCCTTTCCAGTGCCCTTTAAGGAGGAAAGAGGTGGACATGCTATTTCTCCAAAGAACACAAATCCAAACAAATATCTGCTTAACCTTTCAACACAAAAATTCTTTAGTAGTGAGATCAAGACCTACATAATGCTTTTAGGAAAGATGGGAGTTTAAAAAAGGAGAAGAGTCCAGGGACAGCCTTGTTCAAGTGCTTAACTAGAACAAACTGAATCTTTTCTGTGCTCACTTTCTGGATGAGTGGATGTTGGCTGGTAGAATTTGCATCAAAATAACAATTTTTAGAACAAGGAGTGCAGAAGTGTCCTGGAAGGTAAATATCAGATTCTCACTACTCAGTTTCTTCCCCATGAAGCAAGTTCTGAGGGCAAGTGCTCTGCACTCCTCTGCCTCTCTTGTGTCCTGTGTTGTTTGACTCCATGGCTCTAAAGTAATACAGCACATTTCAAACCGGGCTAACCAAGAAAGGGCTCACTAAACATTGTTACCATTCTTATTGCACAGAAGTGCTAAGACGAAAAATGTCATCCAACGATAATGAAGCTGTTGCCAAAAAGGGGAAAGGTTTCAACTCCATTTACAGCTTCTTTGTACTAACCCAGTGCCTTATGGAGACTGAAGAGGGTTTAAGCCACCAAAAGATATTTTCCAAAGCCCTAACTCTTATTTACTTAGGAAAAAGCCCTTCAAGGTGCACTTTTGGGAGATACAGCTCAGACATCAGAGGTCCCCAAGATGTCCAAGGCAGGCTGAAGACCAGCCATTAATTTTACACTTCACCACTTTCAAGTGTTGAGTCTTCATGTGGGTTTGTTTCTGCTCTGAATTCTGCCAGCTGTTATGTTTGGATGGGTTACTCAAAGCCTTATGTTCCCAAGCTATTCACAATACTTTGTAATATTTGGTGACTAACACCAATATTGCAGCAACTAATTAAGCAACTGGCTTAAGGTCAGATTCAAAGGGTTAGGTCCATCCACACACCTTTCACAACTATGTTTTATTTTAAAAATAAAGTTATGTAGGTTTTTTTTCCCCCATAGTGAGCTAGCCTCTCAGATTTTTTATTTTACAATCAATCTAGCAATGTTTTGAGATACAAATGTTTTAATCATGCAATTTTAATTATGAAGGAAATGAATCACTAGGTAAAATTACTGACAGCTGTTATGGTGGAAATGTTTCCACCGAAACAGACCAGGAGGTGAATAGGTCTTGGCAAGACAGATATATTCTTTCCTGTGAAGAAAAGATTGTGAGTCTGTGCCATTCTGGGGAAGAGGCAGATACTGAACGAGCATGACTGACTTTTATAAGTGCTGTGTTTAAAAATAGTGATGTTTATGGATTAGAAAGAAATAAAAACTTTCTAAATGTGGCCATCCTGATCCTAAAGTAGGTCATGTTGCAGTGGCAAAATAGCAGCAGTGACCTGCTGCTGGGTTCCTTTACATGATGGTCCTCTGCTGAGTAATGCATATTGCTCCAACAAGCAGCCAGGCTGCTGTGAGAGCTGCTGCTGAAGGTCTGCCCCACAGATGGAAAAAAAAGCACTGGCTGCTACTGGTACACTTGGAGGAGGCAAAGAAGCTGCCGGGTTACTCTCACCAGGAGTTGCCTCTAGTCTCAGCGTTGGAGGGACCTTTAGGGACAGCTGGTGAGGTACCAAACAGGGGAATTCCAAAAGTAGACCACTTTACAATTGTTAGGCTGATGAATTTTATGCAGGTTGAACCTAAAAGCTGAGATAAAGGCTGGATTAGAGTCCGAGCGCTCAAGCAATGTGTGGGCCTTTAGAACAACGCCTAGCAAATGTTCATAGCACTTGACAGTGCTCTGTTCTCTGCAAAACAGCTGCTAGTTGTGGGGCTCCACAATCAATTCAGCAATTTGTTGATTTTAAAGACCAGCTCTCCCATTAGCTCCTACCAACAAACAAGCTGGTGGGTCCTGAGCTGCTTCAAACATTTTGGTTGAATTGAGTTTAATTAACTTCCCCCTGGTAAGAAATCTGAAGATGATACAGAGGCTAAACTCTCTTCTTCCCTCAAAAACCTGTTCCACTAGGTCAGGGTTGAAATGTTTTGTCAGGACAGAGTGTTACAGGGAAGCTTCATCAGGTGTTGTCTGGGCTGCACCTGCTTTCTGGGGACATGCCTTACTTCAGTCTGCTCTTTTCATCACCACCTTATTCATTTCAGAAAAATGCATTTATCCCAATGGAATAATGTCAACAGCCATTCTGTTCTTCCACTGCACAGCCCCCACAAAAACTCCCACGGACACTAGAAATAGCACTGGTATCTATTTTTAAATAATTTCTTTGCCAGCAGAATTCATTTCAGTGAAGGGTCAACAGAGTTTGGAGGTCATGCTGAAACCAAACCATATAAGGGGTCCAACGTGATGAGAAGTTTTAGCATTCAGTGACAGCCCCAAAGCCTCTCTGAGCTCTTTCTGCAGATATCCTGACTGCCCGTGTCCCGCTGAAGCTCTCCTAAAGCTGCTCATGGCAGCAGAAACTCCCACAGCAATGCAGTAGCATTTTTACTTATCATGTCCTGGCCTAACTCTTATTCCAGTATTTTTATTTGTGTAAATCCTTTTTACTGCATCTTGCGGAAACATTTAGGGCAGATGACTATTTTGTCATGGGCAGAGGCAACGTGGGCGAGCCATCAGATGCTCAGGTCATTGCCCACCACTGGTTACACACCAAAAGGACACTCAAGGCAGACTCCAACCTTCCTAGTGCAGTGAAATGCTGACCTGATGTCTCCTGGAGGTAGTCTCTGCCATGAACAAGTATTAGTTACGTTCTAATCTTTGGCCTGCTCCTTGGGAAGGGCAACTATGTATTATCGTAGGTCCACAGTAAATCAAATTCTAGCCTTTGTATTTTTGTACTGCATACAACAAAATGGGATCCCACCCATATGAAACCTCTAAATGTACTTGGAATATAAATTAATTATTATAAGAATAACAAATAATAACAAAAGCCATTTTTCAAGGGTTTATCTGATTGCAAAAACTCTGAAAAATTGAGTTAAAGATTTCTACCAGAAATAAAATATTATATTTCAAACATGAGATAAAAATCTGCTATCAGATACTAGAACAATGTATGAACTGGGCTGTTCTACAACTGCTTGCCACTCTCAATTTGCTTATTCCTGACATGTTTACAGGATTTATGAAAAGCTCTGTGCTGTTTCAGATGGTAGGGCTCACCCTTTCTTTTTCACACTCTCCCTACATGCATATGCCTGATGGCAACCCCCCCACCTTGACAGGCACAAGGATGGAATTTGGGAAAGAGCAGAAGTTTTGAATTACACAGATTATTGTGCAAAGCTCAGGAAATTAAAACCAATTAATTCCTTGTAAATACAAATGGAGCCAGACTTTCTTTTGATTTATGCTGACTTTTTACCTTCCCCCAATGGCTCATTTCCCTATTTTGCCATGAAATCCTGCACAGTCGAGAGTGAAATTCGCAGCTACTACACTGTAATACAATATGAAAGACAAATGTTTGGTGACTGCTGATAAAAGAGAAAAGGCCCCATGGTGCATTCTTTTAGCCAACTTATTAGGAGTCTTATAAAACACTGTATCTGTTCAGCGAGAGGAAGTTAATGACTGCTCAGGTTCAAGATTGTGTAAGCAAAGTAGTCTAAGAGATGAACTGACTTATAATGTGCTCTCAAAGCTGCGGCAACTCCCCAGATAGCCCAGGTAGGAGGAGAAAAAAGAGAGAGGAGAGCAAGAGAGGCTTTTTTTCCCCACTCTCCTTCCACTGTAATGAAAATCAATGAATATTCTATTGGAGCTGAAAGAGCTTCTTGAAAGGCTAAGAAGATGGAAGAGAATAGCACAGGTTCCAGCTAAAAATATTCAAAATCCTAAATAAAAAATGTCAGTAGAAGAAATTATAAGAAAAACAAGCCAGCCGTCTGCTCCCAGAATGTTAAGTTGGTAGAAAAAACCCTGCACTGGTGAAGTCCAGCAACAAGGCAAAACTATCAAGCATCCTTCACAATTCAGGGCTTGGAAGTTAACACATCCAATTCACTGGGAATTTGCACCAAAATGTCAGAGATCTCTGGGTGCTCCAGCCCATACTCTCACTGCCACACACAAGCCAGTGCCTTGCCCCAGGAGCTGCAGCATTTCCCCTGGGGTGGGATTTCTCCCACCGCTGTTCAGGGAACCTCACCCTGCAAAACAAACCGGGCTGCAAGTTGTAAGAAGAAATTCTCCTGGAGAAAAAGGCTTCCTGAGAGGCAGAAACAAGGGCAAGTGGGGCCACCAGACTAACTGCTTAAGACCAAGATTTAGCTTGCCCTGCAGATTTGCAGGGGATCACTGTGTTTTACCCCGGGCAATGTGACCAAACTCCTACCTCATCACTTTACCTGGCATCCCTTTACAGTTTCGCTGAGAGCCAGCACTTGGGATCAAAGGATAGCTCAGGGTGGAGGGGATCTCAAGAGGTCTCCCAGACCACTGAGCTTTCTAAAGAATTGAGTTTAACCAAAGATCCATCTACCTTAGTGCTATAACTCTTGCTGGAGCAAACAGCAAATACTTAGAGAAGAGAAACTAAGAAAAAGGCAAGTTAAGAGGGCACTTTTCCCTATTTTGGTTTAACAGATTCAGGAGAGATGCTGAGATGCCATCGTGCCACATCCCAGTGTTTTCACTGGACCTCAATTCTTCTTGTTTAGAAAAGTTCTGCTGGCCTCAGTCTTCCCCCCCTTTTTGATGGGCATCAGCTTGTCATGCGGGAATCACAGGACATCAGATGTGAAGAATGGATGTGTTACACAAGTCAGTTTGAGCATACAGCTAGCACTATGCAAGAAAGAGATCAACTGAGCCTAACGAAACACTGCATAAAGTAAACTGAAGTTTTATGAAAACGAAAGAAAATAAAAATAAAAATTTCCACAGCTATGGCCTTAGGGGTCTTTTCTCTTTTTGCATCTTCTGTAAAACATTTTGGTACCAGTCTTGAAAAACCATGAAGAGAAGCTTATTGGTTCTATTCCAGATGATTTGTGAAGAAGAGAGACTTTTAATGGTATCTGAAAGCTCTTTCAGGGCTCTGTATTTTATATAATATATGGTTTATTACAAGGCAGATTGGTTATTTCAACAGCCTCTCTATTTATGCCTAGCTCTAGCTTCGACAGAACTTTTTGCAAGAGTTTGCAGTGTAGCCCCTGGCCAAATTCCAGCTCCCATGTGGAATTTGTCAGACTGCAAGTGCAATGCAAACTTGCTCCCCTTTAACTTCTGTCCTTCTCAAAGTACCATCCATTTCATCCTATCTTGAGAAAGCATCTTACTAACAGCTTGGTACTGAAGCAACTATCCATCAGATTTATTGCAAGCACTGTGCATGTTCATAAGGCAATCCAGAGCAAGTCCTCCCGAAGTGACCCATCCCCATACTATGCCTGGTAAAATTTAGAAGGGGATCCTTATAACGCTCAGCTGCTTGACAATCCTGACCTAACAGACAGAAGAATAATTCCAGGTCGCTGTGGTTATCAACATACCGTCTGCTGGGTGGATAGATCACTAAAACTAACAGAATAAAAAGGGAAAATACTTTCAGAAACAATTTAATTGTGGCAGCTAATGCAGTAATAGGAGTGTGTCTGTAGGCCAGACTCCAGCATTCTACTCAGAAACATTTTTTCTTGATTTCAGATGGATTCAGTTCAACAGTTCAGGAAAATTGATTTTTTTTCTGGAGTGAAAAGTTACTAAAAATGTAGCAAGAAACAGCTTATGCTTTTATGGATAGATTGGACTGATGCCTCAAAGTATTTCTCTGCTAAATATAAAGGCCTCAAGGACTTATACATCATTAGATCAGTTAATCCGTGATCAAGTAAATATCCACCAAGGCACATGTGATGAAAATAAATATTGGCATAGCTGAAATAAGAGAGAATTAGGAAGACTGTTCGGTTGTGAAGAAAGAGAGTGTTTCTTCTGAGAAATGGAAATAGGTTTCTTTATTCCTATGCAATTATGCTTTCAGGCATTGATTGCAGGTAGAAAGAGAAGAGCTCATGAACACATTTGTCTACCTGAATAGAAATCTCTCTTGATTAAACTCTCTTAGTCCATTAACTACTTCTATTAATAAACTTTCAGTTCATTACTTGAAAATGTAATTATTAGAATACTGAGGGCCAGACTACCACAGGTCAGCACTGGGACATGAGAAGTACATTCACTTACTTAATTCACAAGCACCAGTGCCCGTTTGCACATGCAAATGTGGGTTTCATTAAAACTAGATCATGCCATCATGGCTGGTCTTTGAAATTGGACCATCAAGTTGCAAACGGGCAGCCGAAGATCTTCTCCGTTGTGACTTAATTGCAAACATGTTTTCTCTTCCTCCTAGATGTGCCGTTTGGGTTGCAAACAGACGCACAAGTCACAGCTATCGTGGGGAACGACGTCCGGCTGACCTGCCGGGCCTCCAAGTACATCTACAGTCACTTGGCCTGGTATGACCCTTCCTCAGAGGCGGCTCTCAGTGACTCAGTGATCAAGAAAACTGACAACTATTCCATTTCGTTGACACTGGTCATTACTAACGTCACGAAGGAACAGAGTGGCCTCTACAAGTGCAGAGCCCAGAACCAGCACAACAGCACCGACACGCTAGAACAGCACACTCAGCTCCTGGTCAGAGGTAGGTCCTGCCACCAGGAAAGGGCAGTGGGACGTGCCGGCCTTCTGCTGCTCCCTTTGGAGCCTTTCAACGCAGAAGGTGCCCAGAATTTCTTAGGGACTGTCCTAAGGTAGACTCTGTGCTCTGGTTTGGCTTCTTTTTCACATTACTGTGTGCAGGTTTACACCTAGCTGTACATCTTACTCATCCAGCCACTGCTGTTTTTTTAGAAAACATTTGCCTTACACATAAAGGTGATTTTAAGTTCCTAACTCCTCGCTGGGTGCAGATATAGTGTTGAATGAAGAGAAAAGGCATTACCCACCATGTTAGTAACAGCACAACTCTATCATTTGGGACTGTCACCCCAGATCTCCATGATTTTGGTAGAAGACTCCACCCACTTACAGCTGCCAGGATGATACAGATACCTAAATAGATTTGGACGCAGCAGATGTAATCACAAGTGTGATTAAGTGCATAATGTGGTCAAGTGTATAATCAAGTGACATGTGGCATTTATTCTGGGTAAGGGGGATGCACTTCATTAAAATAACAGTATTTTCCTACTTATACCCAAACCCCGAACTCTTATTTTCATAAAAATAGTAACACTACAGATCCTGAAGCCCGGCTTCTTTGGCTATGCAAATATAAAAGGCAGAACACTTCTTCCAGTAGAAACTCACTGAAAATTAGTGAAGTTTCTTCTGCTTCATAGTGAAGAAAGTGAGTAATTAGCTCTAAGCCTTCTCAGAAGAAAAAGTGCTGCTGGAACGGGAGAATTTATTAGCTATCTTCCAACGGTGAAGGAGAACCCAGAGCACAGGAACAAAACAGAATTGAAATAAAGAGGAGCCAGTTAGGGTGCAGAAGAGAGAAGCTTCCTTCAGAAGCCGAATTAAACAGTGAATTTCAGATTGGCTTCTCCACTCACATTAATTGCTAATGAGACACCGAAGGGACAGCTACACTGCCAGAAGCACTTGTCACTTATGTAAAAACCAGGCCATGGAGTGCTGGCCTTGTCCTTGTTTCAGTGAACGAGCACATTTCCCATGCTGTCTCCTACCCCGGGCAGCCAACGACACTCTCACAGGCCCTTCCCCCTCCGTGCAGGCACACACGTGGGAGAAAATGCTCACCCACGCCACAGCTGCGGCTAGCACGGCTCCGATACCTGAGTGGGAGGTGATTTATTTTAAGAAATGGCATGAGCACCTGCCTCTTCCTGAAGTGCGGAGGAAGGGAAAGAATCTCACCCTGGTGTTACAGAGTGCGAGTGGTTTGGCTTGTCCCCACAGCCGGTACCAGAGCCACCTGGCAGCAGCATCTGACATGGAGGCACTGGGCTTTCTCGGCACTCTGAGTACGGGCAAGGCACTTTTCTCTCCCCTGGCAGATATTTTTACTCATTTAGTCAAATTTCCACCTACACAGACACCTACACATGATGGCTATGGGAAAAACACAGCTAAACTGGGAATACATCCATGGGAGAACTGGAACCTCGATCACATTCTTCTGAGAATTACCAGGGTCTGTTATTTGGCTGGCATGGGTCAGAGAGGCAATTCTGATGGAGAACACACGTGGAAATGCCCCTTCAAACCAGCCCTCCTTCCCCTATACAAACAATGTACTAACACCCACCAGCTACAGTCCTTACGGTGGGTTTTATGTATTTTTTATGCTGTGCTTGTGATTATATTCATTGCTTTCCTGTACCTTTTATAAATTAACATAAAGTGGAGTTTAACATGCTTTGTAGTAAGTAGAAAACTGCACTCATGATGGAGGATACAAAATCCTTAGAACTGTTCCTCTTTGCTTCCTCCTTTTTTTTTGTGTGTGTGTGTTCACTCTGCATTTGCTCTACCCACTCACTGTCCTCTGTTTTCTTCAGAGGATGAGAAACTCAGGGAGGTCCGAGCTGAAGCCGAATCTAAGCTTAGACAGTTTGAAAACAAGCTAAAAAACCTCACCCATAATCTTTTGTCTTCTGGGGGATTTTTGCTACCACTCATCAACCAAATCTTTGCCACTTCCAGCCCAGAGAGTCCATGCAGGTGGCCAAAGGAGAGAAGATGGCAGAGCTGAGGGAGGGACCTTCTGAAATCTTACTGTGTACTGTTTTCCTTTGTGACTGTAGCAAAGGCAGCACCGTACGTGATACAAAACCTCACGGATCTGGAGGTTAACATCAGCGGCAAGATCATTCTGGAGTGCAAAGTCAGTGGAACGCCAGAACCTCAGATTACGTGGAGGAAGAACGGCTACCCCATTTCAGCAGCATCGGGTGAGTGCACCCGCTTCCCGAGCGTGCTGCCGTGTTGTACGTAACGCAGGATGATGCACTTGCAGGTTTGCCACAGACTTAGGACCTACAACTCCGCAGCTACTGCAAGCGTGGCTAAGTGTACGCAACCTCGGGAAACACACACACAAATCCAGATACCTCAGACCGCTGCAGTAGCCTCCGATTTGGACTTGGAAGTCCAAGCTGCCAACCGGTTGCAACGCAACGCCTTATGCAGCTTGCCTTCTGCATGTGTTTGTGTCTGCAGAGGCAGGCAGATAGTCTGCAGGCATTAGCATAGCATTAGTAAATCAAGGAGTACAGCGTGCTGCTGTTCAGTCTGCTTGTGTGAGACAACAGTTTGTGTACAAAACTGAGACAGAGAGCGTACCTGCTTGTCAGGTGGGTCTGAAAACACACGCCTGAACTGCCAGATATCCTTGGGGCCTGATCAGAATATATTGCAGCAGATTGTGGGCAGCAACCTAACAGTCAGGTCCAGGGCATGCCGTGGCATATTACACAGCCTTCCTTTATCTCCCACAACACAGAAATGAGAATGTGCTCTCAGCTCAACTGGTACAGGTATGGTGCTACCATGGGCAGGGAGCACGGGCTCCCTTACCTGAGCCTGGAATTCCTTCTCAGCTCTCTGTCCTGAGATCTCCTATAAATCATGGAGAATCCCACGTCAGAAGCTAGTCCTGTGACTTTAATTTTGCATCTTGGACTAGGTGGGAAATCTAGAATCATCCATAATTCAGATCAGACTGTTCTGAGAGAAACTCTTTATAGCTACTGAAAATTTATAAATAATTCTAGAGGGACAAGCATGTAACTCATCCAACCAATGGAAACATAAATAAACTATTTGGAAAAAACACCTCAGGGTAAATATTTCAGCACAGGGCATGGCAAATTATGTGCAGTACTCTTGTTAACAACAGGATTCATAGGCAGAACACCCAGAAACTCAAAATGTCCTTCCCTTTTCGATTCAAAGCCTGATCTGTTTCCTTGTTTCTGCCCCAAACATATCCTTAGTGAAACAGATGAGCTTTTGGGTTTGTGCCACAAATCAGGAAAAATTGAATGTGGAAATTTAATCAGGAAAATTAAATGTAGAGAAGTCTCACATAAGTCATACCTAGACAGCCTCCCTCTTCCCACTCCACCTCTAGCCCCCAGCTGCCTGTGAATCCAGGACTGCTCCATGCAGTGATTTTTCCAGGGACGTGCATAACCTTTTTTCCATGTTCCACATTAGAACTCCCATCACTTCCCACAGCCTCCAAGATGTTTGCTTACTCCAATGATTTCACCAAGTTCCCTTCTTTTCCAGTCTATCTTACTGCTATCAGAAAACATAATTTCCCATAATTTCACAAACTTCCATAGAAGTTTTCTCAGGCTCTGTCTGCCCATAATAAATTAACAGCCACATCTGCTGTTGGTTAAATAATCCCCAAGCAATTTACACAGGTATTGAGGAGAAAAAAAATATCAGAGAAAGGTTGTTGCTAGACCACAATGAGAAACATGGTATTAAAATGCTTCCTAAACAACAGTGTGTACCAGGCCTGCACGGATGCTAACTTTCAGTTCTCTGTCTCCTAAAATCACTTGTAGGCAGGTAGGTTACTGTGCTAAAATTAACCGAAATCCTTTACAACAGGAATTTCCATGGAAAATAATACCCTGGTCATTGAGAGAGTGAAAAAGGATGATGAAGGGCTCTATGAATGCAAGGCATCCAATGACATGGGCCAAGACAGCACATCAGCCTTCATCAAAATACAAGGTGAGGTCCAAGCCAAGGTGAAATCCGTATATTGTGTTGGACTGAGGAGAACTTTGTTCGGTCATAGACTTTGGCTACATTTAAAATTGGGTTGTACATTTAACCTACAGGTTCTGAGGAGAAATCCAACATTGAAGTTATCATTTTGGTCTGCACTGGGCTAGCTGCCACGCTCTTCTGGCTTCTTCTGACCCTATTCATTCGGAAACTGAGAAAAGTAAGAGACCTTCAGCATTGCTCAGAGGATCTGGGATTGGACCCAGTTTATGTGTAGCATCAGAGTTTAGGGCCGGATGTTTGGGACAGATGGTAGAAAAACTGTGCAAAATCTTCCTATAAAAATTCAGTCCAAGATTTCTGCTGATAGTCCTTTGACTTCTCGAGAGATCACTTGCACTTCTGAGATTTCTACCCACTTCCATGGTATCATAAAATCAGGCTCCTCCCTCTTTATGATTCAAACTGGCTTGCAAGATTAGGAAACTGAAAAAAATCCTAAATCCCCTAAAATGAGGTCTTGATTTCAGCACTTGTCCAAGAAGATTTCTCTGAAACACGGGTATTAATGGGGACCCAATTTTAAGAAGAATCCTAGGATGTTTGCTCTAGAAATGAGCTCAAACCACATAGCTTATTTTGTCTCCAGCTCTGGCTATCCTTTCATCTCCCTTTTGTGACTCAATAAAGTAAAATCTCAGTAAAGTTCCAAGGAATGTAGGTCTGTTTTTCCTAAAACAAACAGTAAATAAAAAGGCAACCACATTTGTTAAACTGAGGTCAAGGAGGAAAACAAGAGAGTTGTGGACAACAGTGAATTTCCTGTTACACTTTACATCCATTCAAGTCTGCTCTCAGAACCCAGCAAATCACAGTTTCTCCCTGAGTGCACCAGGAAGTGCAACTCATGGAGTTTCCGTAGAAAAGCACTGATTTCCTTTAAGAGATAAAAGTAGAAGTGATAGATTTTTGTGTCCTCAGAGTGTTTACCAACATTAATCAGTGACTCTACCCAACACCCATGAGTGGCAGGCATACATAAACATTTCTTTCTCAGATATAAAAAAGAGAGAGGCAGGAAGCTGAAGTGATGCATGCATGGTTCTGAATAAATTTAAGAGCTAAGTTGGGAATTCAGGGAACTCCCCAGCCAGTACTCAGTCTTGTAGACAACAGCTCTCTCCCATTAGAATTGCAGGGTAAATACTGTGAATAATTTCTCCATACCCTGTTTTTTAGCCTGATGCCACAGATATTAAAACAGGATACCTGTCAATTATAATGGATCCAGAGGAAATGCCTCTTGACGAGCAGTGTGACCGTCTTCCCTATGACAGCAGTAAATGGGAGTTCCCCAGAGACAGGCTGCGGCTGGGTGAGTGATTTGGGTATTATTGCTGTAAAGATTGATGATTTCTAACGCTCTTCAATTTCAGTGGATCTGTTGTATAACCCAAGAACCAGCCTATTATTTAGTGCCAGTGTACTACCATCCTCGGAGAGAATTGGCAGCGAGTCACAGAATTCAGAATCATCCTTAATGAAGGGTGAAACAAGGGATTTGGTAAGAAAATCAAAGATGATGTCCCTCTCAAAATAGCTACCACCTCTTTTTCTTTCTTGGAGAAATGAAGCCAAACTCCTGACAGGGAAGAAAGGTACCTCCAGGTCCTGTCCCTGCCAAAAGTATCGTTTCACACCCATAGAGGAAAAGGGAAAGAGACATGAATCTGAAAGGTGACAGTCTGTCACTGAATTTTATTTTGAAAAAGTCTATCAAATAATCAATTCCTTGACAATCATTTGAACTTGGCTTTGAGTTGTAAAGAGCTATCATGAAAAAAAGTAACCAAATTTCACTCAACATCTCAGTTCACTGGATGATGGAGCAAGAAAATGTAAAAAGCAGGTTGTGTTTGCATAGAGAAACCATAACAACTGTGTGCAATGATGACTGTAGGGAATATATCTGTATTTGTGTATGCTCTTGGTGCTCTGGCTGGAAAACACAGAAGAAGGAGGAAGACAGACAAAAATAACAAAAAATGAGATGATGGTGGGACATAGGGTCAAACTAGCAGAACCAGAAAGCCAGACCATGATGCCCAGTGTACTCTGCTGCATTGTGGGTCAGAGCCCTCAGAGTACACTAGGTAATACAGGCATGAAAACTCAAAAGGCATGAAAGGGAAAATAAAGACATATTATAATCTTAAATTCTATTTGGTATAGCTTTTAAATCAAATAAATGTCAATAACCAAAGGGTTAAAGAGTTCTGACTGCCCTTAGCTGGCTATCTCCATGACTGTGGTTCATGAGAGATCAGGGTTCCACAATTCTATGTTTAACTCAAACTCTGACTTTTCTGGGCTTCAGGACAACTATATGTAATGTTTTTACTCTTAAGCCATATATATGTATTCAGGCTTGCCTTCAGCTGAATGCAGATGTATTTATTCTACTCTGTTCTATCACATACTGTATTGCATTAAAGTCATATGGATATAAATCATACTGTTTATATCCATATACTGCAAATATGTGATACAGGCTTCTATTGACTATCGGTCTACGTCTACGTTGTGCCTGGGCACTGGAGTCTTGTATTTCTTGCACAGCTGAGAATGCATGTTTCCCTCTTATCTGATGCAGACTGTCGTAAGTCCCCTTTGGCTCATTCTTGACTCTTGCTTCTCTAGGTAAAACACTGGGTCATGGTGCTTTTGGGAAGGTGGTGGAGGCGTCTGCTTTTGGCATTGATAAATCTTCAACCTGCAAAACAGTTGCCGTAAAAATGCTTAAAGGTACATATCCCTCCGAGATTCTCACAAGACTCCTCAGGGAACCTGTGGGCAATGAGGTTTCCAGTTCTCAGCCCCAAACCAGTCTCAAGTTCATTGTGTTCAGAAGGGAGTGGGTTTGTCATATGGGAGCAATTAGTCATTATACAGTGGATGTTAACGTGTAGGAAATGACAAGCGGGCTCCATGCTGCGCTGCTGATTAAGTCTTGTATTCCTAGAGGAGGGAAACAGCAGCTTCCAGGTCTGTGGGGTTAGGAGGGAAACAGATTACAGAATGTAATTACATTAGATATTCTGAAATTGGATCTAAGCCTTCGATCACAGCCCTTCCAGATGCAGAATGGTTCAAGGGGTTGAAAAAAAAGCAATGCCAAGGGAGTGAATTAGAGACAACTTGCTTGCAATTACTGAAATTAAGGAAAGCTTTTACCAGTCAGTGGTGGGGAAGGGGGGAACTTGGAGACTATTCTTTCATATTATATTTACATACAAAGCCTCTGCAGGCAGCTCATGAATAAATGCATCAGCCAGTACATTGACTACTTGGGCTGGAGATTTTTAACTGTTCATTTAGGGTTTTCTCAAAGGTACAATCAGTGCTCACTGGATGGCTTTTCATAGCCCACATTGCTCTGCATTGCTGCTGCATGACAGTATTAACCCCTGCGATGCCATGGTTCAGGAACTTCTATCACGGTATTTGGCTTCTGTTGCTAGCTGCCTCTCCTGGTGCTCTGCTACTTCCCATCTCTCTGAGACTTCAAAACCATCAGTTTATCACCTGTCTGGACCTCCTCCAAGTCTGGTCTCCTCTGCATTAGTCAGTAGTTCTTCAGATCATCTTCTCTCCTGCTGTCGTTTCTTCTGTTCCATGCCCATCTCCAGATCCCTGAAATATCCTAGAAGCCCCTGATCCAGACACACTTCCTTCTCCATCCAAAACTTACTGCCCTGGATAGCTCTGGGTTTTCATTCACTTCCACGCTGTGCTTCCCAACTGATCCTCATGTCAATTCTACCCTGCCTGCACATATTCAGCAAACTATTTGACAGTTCCTCCATCATTTTACACCTTCCTCCCCCAGTGGAGGCAGCAGCCTCCTACCCTAACCCATCCCTCCCCAACTAACATGCCCATAATTCATCACTTTCCTGAATAAAGCAGATTCTCTAGTGTGAGTCAATCCATTCAGGAAAAACAAAAAAAAAAAAAAAAAAAAGGCTCTGCAGATGTCTGCATGCAGATGTCTGCATTTCTGTAATTCTAGCATTATCTGTCATTTCCACAAAGTAGGCTGGCATCAGTTCTGGGTTGAAGGCTAAAATTCAATACACAAGATTATTTCAAACACTTCTGAGGCTGTTCTGGTTACATTTTGCCAGACGTGTTCCAGCTCATGCCAGGGTAAATCAGGAGTAAAATCACCCATGTACACACCCATCCACAAACACTGGAGAGGACTGAAGAGATCTTGGGCTTGGAATAGCTCCTTTATGACACAATTTGCTGAAAGATTTGTTTATGGGGAATTCCACAAACATATAAAGAGGTTACATTTGTCACACCAAATGATCTGTTATATAACTATTTCTTCATATTTAAATCTTACATTATGCAAAAGCAAAACCAGAGGAAACGGGACACAGCCCCTTTTGTTAAAATACATCATGAAAGTTTTGGAAAGAAGGCAGAGGAAACAAGCCAGTATCTGAAAAACATTCTGATCTGAGAGTGCCTTCCTTAGCTTTGGCAGCAAAAGAGAATGAAGCTACAGTATAACTGACTAGCCAGTACTTCATCAGGTGTCAGGTTCACGGTTCACACACAAATATGGCCCCCTCTGCTTTGCTGGAAAGTGCATTTCTTAGGTTGATGAGATCTCACAGGGCTGAGATTTAGTAATGCTGATACATTCTCCAGTAAATTTTGGGACCCAGCTTACAAATGTGTTGGATCCCTCCATCACCTGCAGTGAAGAGTTGCTCAGTACTGTGGAAAAATATATTCTGAGGTATTGTAAAGTATTACTAAAGTGCACGTCACCATTATAGATGGAGGAACACATTCTGTGTGCTATTGTTGCTTGGAGAGGTTGTTTGTTCCTTTGCTAAGCTTGTAAAATTCAGTCCTTGCAAAGGCTCTCTGGTATCTGATTTGGGGGGAGGGTTCTCCTACGGGGCAGTTACCTTCCATAACCCATGCTAGAAAAAGGAAGAATCACCCGAAAGATAAAGTGTTATGCCACTTCATAAAGGTCAACAGACAATGAAAGGGATGAATTATTATCTGTTTAAGAGTCTGAAAAGCAAAGATCCTGCAAGTAACCTGGGTGGGTTTCGTTTCCAACTATAAACAGGATCTTGCTGTGTCCTGTTAAAAATATCCTGTTGTGTAAAGATGATTTTTTTCCTGTTTATCTTAAGCAGAATGTGCAACTACTAATGAATGTAAGGCTTTAATGTCTGAACTGAAGATCCTCATCCATATAGGACATCATCTAAACGTAGTCAACCTGCTGGGAGCCTGCACCAAAGCTGGAGGTGAGAAGTCCTCAGTAAATAAGGAACAAAGAAGAAATGCTTTCCAGATACGATCGTGTCTGGATGTATCTGTGGTGGAGTCTGAGTCTCATGCACATGCAGTTAATGCAAGCACAAGCATTTCTACCTCTCTGTTCGTAGGAGAGCTTCTGCTACTGCAGAATATGGCTACGTCTCATCAATGGTTTCTGAACATCTTCTTCCAGCCCGTGGTGTCACTTGGCTATTTTCTTTTTCTCTGTCCTTTGTAAGTGTGTTTACAAAAGGGAATATGGACTGAAGGGAGGTGGGATCTTTCACTGAAATTAGGTGTCTAATTTCTCCACGTAGGCACTACTGATCATTTCAAAGGTTCTTCTCCCTCTTCTTCCCTGCCTTATCAGGAGGATGCACCAGGCTGAGCACTTAGCTACTTGAGGTCTCCTCCTTTCCGAGGCATTTCACCCTTGCCTGGCAAATTCAGGCATTTTTTGCGTAGTATACAGGAAGTCTGCAGCAATCCAAAGCTGAATAGAGCAACATCATGGACTTCCAAGGGGTTGAGCTGGCACAACAGTCTGTACATCATACAAAGAATCTGTTGCAAAGTGCAGAGTTAAACAAAGTGCTCCATAAATCTTAGACCTTTGTCACTAAAATGTCCCTTCCCATACACGATACAAAGCAACACTGTCTGTTACTATACTGTGCTTTAACTTCAGGGTAACAGCTCTCAGAGATGCCTCTTTACTGCTTACAATGAACCTTTAAACAATCCCCAAAGGACATATTTAGGAGAGATGAGAACAAAGAAAAATGAATAAAATAAATGAAGGGGAAAGAGCGAGAGAGATGGTACACACATCTGTTGTCATCTGAGACTCCAAAGCTATCATTTTCCCAAAGAGCATGTAGTTGTCCAGTCACAGGGGAAAAAAAGAAAACTTCAGTGAGGTAGATTTGGTAGGTTGCCAGGAAAGAAATCTTCCCTCCAGGAGAATACTTCCAGTTCCTCAAGGTGCAGTCAGCAACCAGCAACCACAGATTCTGCTGTAATCTGGGAGCCACAAACGGGGAACTTGCAGGAATTGTTCCAGCACTGCAGACCCCAAAAGCTTGTATGGGAGGATGGCCAGCTTTAGCTGGAGGGGTTTAATATTCAGTAGTCTTTGCTTGGGACTGTGAGTAGAGGGGAAGTACCATTCTGAATGCTGATGATTCTTCTCTACTCTCAAGTCAATGAAGTGGCTTAATACAAACAGGTGCCTAAAACACGGCAGCTTTACTAAGAGGTCAGTAGTTTTTCACCAAAGCACTAATTCAGCCCCAGAGTTCTAGCTGCATAGGGAGTCACATCTCAGTAACTGATCAAATATCGTGATTGTCCAATCTCTGAGGAACTTTTTCTCCTGGGAGTCCCTCAGTTTCCCATTCTCCAGCCTGCTCCACCCTGGTTCCCCTCCTGGGTGAAGAGGTAACCCCCACTCTTCCCTGCTAGCTGCCTGGGGAAACCACGGATTACTCTGGGGAGCAGTGGATGGAGCAGAGCGGTGCAGCACGGCCTTGCAGGGCACTGAGGTGCTGGTTTGCTTACCTTTGAGCAATGCAGCTGCAGACTAAAGAAAAATAGCCTTGAGCTCTCAAGACAGACACTGGGATAAGAGTTACTATTAAAATGCCATGGCAAAATACAGTGGTTTCTCCTTTCTTGTTAGGTTTTATGTAACCATGTAACAGTATTCCTGAAGAAGACTGATATTAAGTATGCACACATATTATTTCAACAGTATAACAAATAACAAATTCTAACACCATGGCTGAGTGTCTGATATTATGCAGTTCAAACTAGTATATTCTTTACAATGAGGAAATAAAATATGGAGAGGCCACGTCTAGGAAATGTTTCAAACACATGAATAAGTCACTAACTGGAGCTTTAAAGCTGTACTGGAATCTGCATTTCCTCAAGGCATCCATGAGGGACACTCGACTTTAGGTTCTTCAGAACAAGTTCCTCAGAGATCTCTTGTGCTCTGCCAGATCCCGGCACCGTGGCGATTCAGCCCAAGCGAGCAGTGCTGTGTGGTCAGCAGCAGAACTGCTGGCACCTCTGATTTTGGGGCAGTTGTGTTTTTGCAATCGCTGGTACATTGTGCTCGGGTGCTGAACATGTTAGAGCTGTAGTCAATAGGAACTGGAAGTGCTGAACAGCCCAAAGTTGTGTATCCAGTGTAGCAGTGCTATAGGACTTGTATAGATAAAGAGCCTGGCAGAAATATGCAAAGTTATTACCAACAAGCTATTGGTTATTGTTGCTAGAATTCACCATCTCCCTTTTAATGGGACAGCCTGCTTCCAAGCAGTGCTTGTCACCCGGTCTCAGCCAGGATGCAGCCACCAGAATCTCTGAGGTTCACTCTTCCCTCCTCGACCCCTCCGCTCCCCCCGACAGCCCTGCTCTCAGCCTTTTCAGTCGACATTGTACGGGTTGGACTGACCAAGGGGCAGACTGCAGTACAAGTCTGTGTGTGTATTTCTGATAGAGCCAGAGAGAAGATGCCTCATGCCTGGATGGCCAAGCACAGCTCTCAGCACTTCTCCTTTGAAGTTCAGACTCCTAAGTCTGAACTACAGACCTTCTATACAGAAAAAGGTTTCTGGACATAAAAGTCTGGTTGCTTAGAATTGATAATAATACATGTTTATATGCATTCTAGTCCCACGATTTCACTTTATCTTACAGTTGATGATTACAAAAAGCGGTGATTACGCTAAAGGTAGAAAGTGTAGCTTTTCCCTTTCCTACTAGTTCATACAGAAACATAAAAGCATTTTCAAGCAGATCTTAAAAACATGCATAATTGTATAAAAGCAGCAACTGCACTGAACTGTTCAGTAGTTTGCACAGAAATAAGAAAGGAAGAAATTGATAAGACGCTCCAGGCTTTCAAAAACTTCAGACTAAATATTTTTGCAACTTTTGATTTAGATCTGTCTATGATCCTGCATACTTTTATTGCCTCTAGTAGCATCAGCTCCACCAAAAAAAAAAATTGTGAAGCCAGCAGAGAAAAATTAAGACTGCTCCATGCTATGGATCTATGTATAGCGTAAAAAAAAATTTACTATCATGTGGGATTGTATATTCTTATTTATCATTCTGAGTTTTCCTTTGTTTATAAATAGGCAATAAATATTACCTGTTGCCATCTAATGGGGAAAACTAAGACTCAGTACTGTATTCCCTTCTCTCCATATCCACTCCTGATTGGATGCGTCTGAAGTGTCACTTCTCTGTTTCCAGTATTTATGTATTTTGAAGAGGATTTGTGAGGATAAGTTAGCATTAAGTGCTTTGCAGTGCTTCAAAACTCATTTGACTTTCACTCTCTTTTTAGGTCCTTTAATGGTCATAGTAGAATACTGCAAATATGGAAATCTGTCCAACTATCTAAGAGGAAAACGAGGAGATTTCATTGCCTACAAGGTAAAAAAATGACAGGCTTCTCATAGTCAACAAGCAGAGAATTAACAACCGCTGACCGCAAGTTGGACCTTTTTCTGCATTGGCACTGAGACAGTTTGGTATTTGTGTAGGCATTTTATTTTCTCACCACATTTCAATTTGTATGAGCAAGAACTCTTCTTTTCCAGCACCTACTAAAGATTTAGTTGCAAATACCCAAGCACGCTACTGCATTTGAGAGGGAGAGGGATTTACTTGCAAGATACTACCCAGCACAAGGGGAGGGGCAAGCAAGTAGTAGTGAAAAACTGGTATTAACTGAACTAGAAGGTGAACCCTCCCAAAATACAAGTCCAGTTTGGGTATTTTTGTTTCTAGGCCCACTCCCATCCCAGCTATGGAAAGCAGCTCACCCTTCCATCATCTGCTCATTCCCATCTTCGGTGTTCTCCCTTCCCCTGTGCCAACCTAAAACTCTGTGCTGCAGGCAGCAAACTGGATCACAAACACGGTCTGCGTTAAAACTAACCAAATGATTTTGCTTTCCAAATGGTTGTCTGCATCCACACAAACATTTGTGCTAGCACAAATTGGGCTAGGATATGGGGGAAACACAGGAGGCCAGAAGTCAGTGATGGGGAGAGGATGGGACTCCCTCCTCATTGTGAAAATACAGCATCAAAAGGGCTCTGATCTAAGCCCTTAAGAAACTGGAGCCTCCCCAGGATTATTTTCCTGGACAATTCTACTATTATTGTTGTTATTATTATCATTATTATAGCTATTGTTTACAGGCACAAAAGTACATAAGGTATTTTGTGTAAGAGAAAGAGATTTTCCTGGTACAGTCACTCAAAATTTCTTTCCTCACCATTGTTTTAATAAATTGCAGGGCCTGGCTATGTCTCACTCCTCAGGACAGTGCGAGACAGATGCATTTCAGTGCACACCATGCACATACTTTGAACTTAGATTTTTAGCATGGTTTCCTAAGAAAGCAGGAGGTACAGAATCACAAAATCTCTCTACTCATCTACCAGTCTCACCTACCCGGCTTCCAGCTAACTTTATGGTGGACTATTGCTAAAATGGGAGGTTCTGTATTAATAAACAGGAATCCAGGCTTCATTAGTTTTGCTGTTCAGGGAACGTCACGCCCAAATGTGTTTTGAGCTCACCTTCGGAGGGCACTTTCTCCATGTGCCATACTGTTACATATTTTGAATCCCCAGGCATTGCATCATCCAAAGCTAAAAATCAGTTTTATACCATTTCTAGTCCCAGGAAAACTCTGACCAAGCAGAGAAAAGTCTGGATGAGTCCAACAGTGATTTGACTGAACTGATCAAGAGGCGCCTTGAGAGTGTAGCCAGCACAGGAAGCTCTGCCAGCTCTGGATTTATTGAAGATAAGAGTTACAGCGATTCAGAAGATGATGAAGAAGGTAAAAGAAACCTACCTCATCCCGGATCTTTTATTGTAAGGATTTCTGTCACTTGGCTAGTGTCACACACACTGTCATACACTTTACAAGCCCTTACACATCTTGACTCGTTCCTGAAATCGCAAATTCCTTCTCTTGCCTGTGCCCCACTCCAGCTTCCTCACAAAAAGAGATATGTAGGCATATAAAAGCTGCTCCTGTTGTATAAGGGGAGTAATAGCAGTATTTTACCAGAAGATTTGTGGGGCCAGTCTGTCCTCAGATTCATCACTCGCTCGCTATAGTTTCCCTCACTTTTATCCCCAGATGTTTATCCCTAAATGACATAATATTGGAGGGAACTTTTTTAATCATCTGATCTTCTGCCTCTGTGTCAGTGGTTCCTAAACCAGCTCTTTAATCCTACTAGAAAACTCATGTAACAATATTCAGATGGCATCATCAGCATGCAAGTGGCACCAGTGCCAAAAAGGTTTGGAGCTGTTGCTCTAGTGTTTTGCCATGTCTGCGATCTCTCCTAGATGCTGAGGATCTGTACAAGCGGCCCCTGACTCTGGAGGATCTGATTTGCTACAGCTTCCAAGTGGCAAAAGGCATGGAGTTTCTCGCCTCCCGAAAAGTGAGCTCATTAAAACGTTGGGGCTGAACTTTTTTCACAGAATCATGAGTACCTAATATGAAGAAATCCAAATATGCTTTTAAGCCTGAGTAATCTGCTTTTTGCTCTTATATTAAAGTGTTGGAGATCACATTAGCTCTGGTGGTTAAGCAATAAGTAGCACTGAAGTAGCTGTGAAGGAATATCCATCATGTTCTTGGCTACAAGGACTGGCGTCCGTAACATAAGAGTCTTGATAGAAGGAGTGAATACAGATTGTAAGACAATTCATGGAACTGTCTCATAAATAAATGCAGAAAAGGCTTCTCATAGGGAAAGATCCTTCTAGTATGGTCAACAAAAGTACTACCGAAAAATGACGAGGGAGTATCCAGCTATTTATTTAGTTTGTCAGCAATGTTGGAGACTATCAGCAAAGTTAGCATCTCTTTTGGATACGAAAAAAAAAAAAGTATGTTTGTAGCCTGTGGAATGATTGCTTTTCAAGTAAATTTAAATAACGTGCATGCCAAAGTATGCAGAAAACTGAGAGCTTGCACTTACCACACAACTACCAGGGCAGCACACAGAGAAATCATGAGCACAGTTACCCGAGTGCCACACACACTCATGACACTGCATTTGCAAATGTAGCTGCAGCTGCTTTTTGACCCGTCTCAAATTTCCCACAGAACAATTAACTGGAAAGTGGCACTCCCTTCATCTCATCATAACTGAGAAAGTTATTTCACATTGAAAAATCATGAAACTAACTGTAATACTTGGCTTGTTCCCCAAGTTATTTTCTCTTTTGCAGTATATTTGTGGCAGATTCCCACACACATTTTCCTTCTCTAACCTGCTCTCAGAAAAAGTTCATTTATCTTTCAATTTCCATAAAAGGTCTCACACTTTCAACTCTAGCAGGGGCTTGTTGTCCAGGCAGACCCTCTGATCTTGCTTATCCTCATTCCTTCACAGTGCATTCATCGAGATTTGGCAGCAAGGAACATCCTTCTTTCAGAGAACAACGTGGTTAAGATCTGTGACTTTGGTCTAGCCCGGGATATTTATAAAGATCCTGACTATGTACGGAAAGGAGATGTAAGTGGAAGAAACTTGAAATGCTAATCTCAAGATTTTATTCCCCTAGGGCCTGGACAGATCAGTAACAACTGTTCTGGCAACATGTTGTGTCTTTTGCATTCTTAGGCAAGACTTCCACTCAAATGGATGGCTCCAGAAGCTATTTTTGACAAAATTTACACAACACAGAGTGACGTATGGTCTTTTGGAGTGCTGCTGTGGGAAATATTTTCTCTAGGTAAGAATGGTTTAAAACCCTTTTTTCTCCTGATTTATGGCTCTGTTGCTAAGAAAAGCTTTTAACAAAAGGTGGTAACGTGGTACCATGTTTCTATTTCAGTGAGTACAAGTGCACAGTGCAGATCAGGTGTAAAATAAAATCACAGGACTGAAGTCAATGAGAACTCCATCTGGCAAAGTACATGAGAACAGTGAATACTGGGGAGAGGGAAACAAAACAAAATCCCAAACCCTGGACCTAACGTTTGTAATAACTAAAACCAACAGAGCACAGAGACAATACAAGCCTCTGCTGCTCGGGAGTGAAATATTTCTTTGAGAGCAATGAAGAAGTTTCCCTGTCAAACCATATTTTCCTCTAAGCAGCCTGCGTCGGGACACTACGCAGCTCAAAGGTTGTAGAGGATTCCGCTGCTGTTGACAGAGTGGTCTGATGTTGCTAGTGGCAGCCCCTGGAACACAAGGGAGTTCGCCCACATGACATTTTATCCCAGCTTGATTATCTTCCCCACAAAATCTAAGTAAGATTTTCTAAGTAAGAAAAATGTATTGGCAGCAACTTCCATCAGGTTAATATGAGAACCAGTGCTAGGGTCTGTGTAAGTCATTTTAGCAGTGAGCAGGTAGAATGCGTACTCTTCTGGCCATATCATTTGCAAGCCACAACATTTTTGAAAGAATAGTAATGGTGTTCTTTATGTACTATGGATTTCATCTTATGGTGCTGTTAGAGATCTCAGCCTCACTGAGATCTGGTTACTGTCCAGCAGATAAAGCTCTGAAATTTAGACGAGCAGTCTTACAGACAGTTGGACTTTGCCATGCTCAAATTCTCCTTGCAGAGTGGCAAGTTTTGTTTTCCTGAGAGAATTTAGGAATGTCAGCTCTGGCTTTTTAATCAGCATTTGCAGACGAAAGGAAACAAGAAGCATTGTCAACTTAAGCTGCTGAATTTTAAAGTAAACTGCGTAATCTCCCACTATCTTTGGTTCATGGATCAGTTGAAATTAATGATTGGGCTTAAGATGCTAAGTCCAGATCTGGATGCAAAGTCTGGAGCTGTTTCTATCCCAATCTTTATGTAGGGATGGCTGCAAAGATAACAGCCTGATTTCAGTCCAAGTCTTTGATTTGGACTTTTCTCTTGTACATATCAGCATGCAAAACAAAATTCACACTCAAATGGTTAAAACAAGCAGCAGTTATAGCTTTCTCCCGAGTTCAGTCCTATTTATTTAAAGTTTTGTTATTTTGGTGTAACAGCTCCATGGCTCTGTAACAGCATCACCTGCTGTATGTATTTTGAAACACCACAAAAAGACAAAGCTCCAGAAGCACCAGCAATGCCCCAGTTCTAGAAGATTATTCAAGAAGACGTATTAGCATTAGCATGCAGAGAGACACTCAGAGGGGACAGTCTCTCCATTGGGCATCTCCAAGGAATGAAATGAACTGTACACTGATGAACGGCAAGGACCACTGCAGAAGGCAAACTGTTTATACCATTCCCAAAGGTCCTGACAGAGTTTAACAGATGTGAACATCGGGTCATTTGGCTTTCAATACTGAGGACTAATAAAAATTAAAAAATAGTCACTGAAATTCTATTTTTAACTATTTTAAAAAATAATTTATCTGGTTTCTTTTAATTTTAGATAGTCTCTTTTCTTAATGAAGGTGCTTACTTGGAACAATAGACCGTCCTCTTCTGAATTCAGAGGAATCTACTAAATTACTCCAAGGGCTGCTATCCGTAGAGCAGCCTCTGCCCTCACTATGACGTAGATCACAAACTACTTTCTTCAATCCGTGGCACAGATTCAAAAGCAGTCATTTTCTCTAAGAGGGTTTTTCATACAGATCATCCAGGCATGTCTGTGGTTTGGCACTACTCACATCTGCAGCTCACACGATAAATATTTAATTAAGGATTTGTGTCACTGATTGAACTCTCTTACATAAAAGTTTTACAGATCATTGAGAGCCAGGGGATGGAAGTTATTTGTCGTTGCTACAGGGTGTGCTTTGGCACCCACTTACAACTGCTGCTTTCTACTGGGTCCCGCAGACTTAGCACCCTCTAAAAAAGGAAAATATACTGATTAGCAAAATGCACGGTTTAGTTTGGACATGGGTCCTTGCAGAGTCAGAAGCTGAATGAAGCACAACAGGCTTCCTGCAGAAAGGCTGGCAGATTGGAACCATTTTGGTGATAAACAGGGAAATCAGAACTTGAGAGACTGATAATTTTCATTTGTGGCTGAGTCTTCATTGAGCTTTGCATTATTTAAATGGGGTCAGCACACCTCATGTCAGGTAACGCCAGCAGTGTTTAATACATCTTGGAATCACTTACATGGCGCATTACAGAATGTCGGTGTCTCCTGGAATTTAAATGTGCACTGTTCTAAAAGCAATCAAACATAATTATGTAAACAAGCAGTGCTTGGTAGTATAACATCAGCATCTTATTATCTTGCTGAAATAAAACTAAGATCAAAAGAGTGCTACCATATCCAATGCATGCCACATCTCTGAGTGTTTTGAAAGAGATTTCCCCTTAGGAAAATGTCATATGAAGACCTTACACCATATGTTTCAGCCTACATTTCTCCCAGGCTGTCACAGCATTCTAAATCAAAGTTATTAGGCTTATCACATAGTCCAGATGAGGTACAATGGTGAGTGGAGGTGGAAGAGGGAGAGTTCCTTGTTTTTATGACCTGAGCTGCCTCCAGCTGCTAGGAGGCCAGAACCAGACAAAATATAAACTACCAAAAGATCTCTCAATCAAAAATTATTCTTGCCTTCCCTGTACTTGCTCTCATCAGCATACTGCAGTTGATCTGATCAGTGATGTAATCAAATCAAGAGAACTCAGATTGTGAGATCAAGGGGAATTCTCCACCCCTCCTCACCCAATTCTACCATTCATACCTTAAGGTCTCAGTCTCAATCAATGTATTTGCAAGACTAATTCTTATCAATAACCCCCCCTGTGCTCATGAGACAGATCCACCCAGTCATACTCAGCAAACTGAGGGGCTTCTTTTGCACATCAGGATAGCCAATGTAAAACAGCCATTCACCAATGGTGTGACTCCATTCAGCTCCTAACGGAAATCGGTTGGCCACGATGGCACAACAGTCACATAACGCAGTCAGAAGTGAAAGCAAAAGGCCGTGCAGCCCCTCTCTTCTCTAATGAGGGGGATTGTTTTCAGTGTTGCCCCTGTACATTGACAATCTAGGGCTAACTAGATTAAGTGAGGTTTATGCTCACTTCTTGAGAGGCTGTGCCACTGTTAAATAGATACAGAATCAACTGGGCGAGTCGCAGGTATATTCAGAAAGCCTCAGTACTTCGTAAGGGTTTGTGAAGAAAAACCTGTACAGATGAAAAGACTAGCTAGTGAGAGTCCAGGAGATGTATACAGACAGCACTTTAGTAGCTACAACAACAGTCAGTGCCCCCAGAGCCTGCTCCTATCCTTACCCTTCTGTCACAGTGTAACTGTGGGAAAGTGACACTATAGTTTCTACCCATCTGTTTATTCAGAGAGATCTCGTGAGCTGATAGAAGCCTGTTTTGAGATCTTCGGCTAATGGCTGATGCCACGTGAGCTGAACATTTAATTACCAGGTTATTATGACCATAATAACCACAGGCCAAAGACAAAATTAGGAAGGAAAATCAAGATATAAAACAGAAATTATGCTCCTGACTATTTCTGATCTACATAACTCCAGAAAACACTCTTAACGCTGTGATCTGATACTTGCACATCAAGGGAATTCAGACGTGCTGTGGCTAAGCATCTCTGAGCTTTGAATGGCATCAGAGCCCGTTTGCTGTGTTGAGATGCCCTCTTAGGAAGTTGCCAGGATCTTTGCTCCCCAGTGCATAGTTTTGCAGATTGAGCAGTCAGATTCACAGAACAGCCACATTTTGGCACCCTCTTCACTGTTTATATCCAAAAGATTTCTACTGTGCTGCTTGTGCCCCCAAGTGCACAGCGCATGATGGTGTTTCCAAATGGGGAAAAAAAAAATGCAGGAAATAGGCAAGAATGTTATAGGCAGTAAATCATATACAGATTCCTCGAGGGCTGGATACAAATCCAGATTCCATTTAGTCCCCTATGTTAAGACTTGATGAAACTTTTTCCAAATTCACCATCCAGCCTCTAGGATGCCAAAATGTGAAAGACAAGGGTTGTACTGCATGTGAAGCCTTAGCTGAGGAGGAGGGGAGGAAAGCTTACGGATCTTTTAGGTCTATCCACAATGGGGTCAGTAACCTTTCAAATTTCACTCTAGACATCTCTTGAATCTTACCTATGAAGTCTGTATTATTCAGATGCCAGAGCACTTTCTCAAATTATATATTTGTTCCCCTTATTTATGGTGCATCGTAAAGTGCAGATGTCATCCCAACCTCTGAAAAGCCCCCATTTGATGATTGGTTGAAGAGCGCATTCAATGCATCCACACATTTATACTAGTCATCCCTCTGAAGATAACCCTTTACACAAGAAAGTGAAATAAGTCTCACTCCTGCATTTTGATGACTAGGCCAACTTTTGTGCAAGTTAATATAATACTACCAGTCCCTTTACAGAAGTCTACCTCTCAAAAGCAATTACAGTTGCCACAAATGGTCCTCCCGGGTTTCACACTAGCAATTGAGTGGCCCTGAAATAAGCAGCATTGAACGCACAGAAAAGAAAACAAAGCTAAACATTTGGAAGGTCATTTTTCAAGGAAATTTTACCTCTAGAACAATACATATACAACACTAAATTGGAGACAAGGACTACAACTCCACACCTGAGATTGAGCTGCAAGGTTCTCCCAGCCTTCTGCAGGTGCCAGGTGCCTACAGCTTCCTCTGCACTTACTGACAGAGGCCAGAGATTTTAAGGCAATGAATGATAAGCAGGACTGACTTACTTCATGGGTATTCACTTAGTGCAGGATATTGGCAGACTAACAGTTTAGAAAAGAGTATGTAACCAATTGACTGAGCTGGAACTTTTCTACCACTGACCAAGAGGTCGTTTAAAGTCTCAGACTAATAAATTTTATTTCTTTTCTGCCATATTTTACCTTGGAGTGGTCCTGGTTATATCACGAATGCAGAGGAGACAGAATAACTGAAATCTCTAGAGACAGAGTGAGTCTGTCACAGCTTTCCATATAAAACTTGTAGATAGGAAGTGACTGCAACCCCTTCTTTGCTCTAGCTTCTTTTACTGTCAGACTCTAGGTAATCTCGAATGCTCAGCAGAAATCACTGGTATGTGTTTAATTCACTGGACCGGGAAATAGGAATTGTGCCATTCTGGAGCCTCCTCCTTATTTCTCCCATCAGGTGCCTCACCATACCCTGGAGTGCAGATAGACGAGGACTTTTGCCGACGGCTCAAAGAAGGAACCCGCATGAGATCTCCAGAGTACTCTACTCCAGAAGTGTAAGAACTCCTGGTTCTGTATTGCGAGCTGATACCTGTCATTTAAGTATTACCAAAGAGATTGTATTTAAGTGCGGAGGAGGAAGAAGACCTCATCAGATGATAGCTATGTATTTTGTTTTCAGTAAAGGTTGTAGTGGTGCATATCTTGGGTGTCCTGATACCACAGACCAAGTCAGCTTGACCTTTGCCAGCAGGAAGATTAACAGATCTCCCCCTGTCAGTTAGAGTTCACGAATCTCAGTTCAGGAGACTACCCCCTGATTTCCAATTCTGTGACAGAAACTAGGCATCCATAACTATGACTTATTTCAGTAATATCAGTGGTGCCTATCAGTCAAATGTTAAATTAGGTAAAAATAAGAAGCTTACAGGCTCAGTTGAGGCAAGAATATAGAAGGAAAAAGCATCCCACGTGGAAACTAGAATAGAATTTCAGCACATAGAGCTTTGAATCTGTCTTAATCCAAAACTATCCAAACAATGACCAAAACAAGCAGGAGCTGAAAGAAGCAATTTGGAAGCAAAGCTCCTAGCCTTTTCCTTTCTTAATACCTGTGGTTTTTATCTAGCTACCAGACAATGCTGGATTGCTGGCACGGAGTCCCCACAGAGAGGCCTACTTTCACTGAGCTTGTGGAGCGCTTAGGAGATCTTCTTCAAGCCAATGTACAGCAGGTACAGCAATGCAAACATTTCTTCAACAAACCTATAGATAAAGATGTATATGTATGTGGGTAAGTGTATGCGTGTGCCCAGGTACAGACTATGTTGAGCACTAATATTCAGTTTGACTTCATAACAGAGGCCACAAGGAAAATGGCTGCTGGGATGAGTAAAGAAAATGTTAACTATTCAGAGGGGATTAGATTTTAAAACTAGATGTTTATCCATCCATAATAAGCAGAAACTCACATTAATTAAAAAAATACTCAGTTGCCCCTTAGAGGAACAATAGTGCTTTATCTCACAAACAATTTTAATTAGATTCCAACATAGTAAACTGCCAGTAGTTGGTCTAAACTTTCTCTCTCATTTTCAGAGCTTATGTTCATCAGTGCTCTTAGGAGCTTTAAAATGATGCAGTTTAAAGCTCAGAAAGTCAATTACATAATTATTAATTTCATAATAGTTAAATCAGTTGTTTTCTTCTTCAGAAAAACAACCAGACCAGTTATGTAACTGTCAATTTAATTTAAGAAGAAATCAAACACTCTCCTCCAGCTCCTTCCTGTTTGTAAACAAGTTTAGTGAAGCTAAGTTGAAGAGGGCCCAGTTTGCAATATGAAGAGCTTGAGAGTTTTATCCTATAACCAAGGTAAATTAAGGAGACAAAAAACATGATAAGGGAATAGGGCACTTAACTGCTTCTCAGAATTAAAAAAAAAAAATAATTCAAGCAGAGGGAAATTTGGACAAATAATTTTAGGGCTTCAAGGAAGAGTCATTTCTGAAGATTATTGCAGGGGTGTAATGACAATGCAGAACTTATTAAGATGTGTACTGAATTCCATTAAACTTGCAGCATCAATTTCTTGTAAGGACAAGAAAAAAAATCCTTTCAGGCTACCATCCTAAACTGCATCTCCTGAAGTTGGACATAATCAAAAAGTCTGTACACAGGCAATATTCTTTTACCAATTTCAAAACCTGTTAAAGTCATATCGGCCATAGGCGTTTTTTGGCCTCATGCCACTCCCTCCCTTCTCCCAAACACATGGTTTAAACTTGGATTTAGGTGTCCCTGAGACTGGTCCCTTGGAATTCCCAAAGAGGCCAATGCAATGACAATATAGAGGACTGCTTTCCTGAAGTGAAGATTGGTGAAATTCTGTTCACCTTCACTGAGGCAGAACAGCCACACACCTGGAATGTTATAATGATCCCAGAGAAATTGCTGCAAACTCATCAAAGATGCTGCTGTGAAAGTCAGCAAAGCCAGCTACTTTTAAACAGGATGCACATATACTGACACCCTCAATTCAACTGTTGCATTGCTGTGCCGTGTGTGAGGGACATTTAGAAGTCTTATAACCAGAGAAGCAATATCTTGAGCTGAGATGCCCGGAGGAGGAAAACATGCTAACTGCAGATGAGTACTGGAACATTAGAGACCATTTTCAGCCATCCTACATCGTAGGTTTCCCAAAGTGTACCATTTTCCTTGTACAAAGCCTCCTACACAGTAAATGTCGGATAGAACTATACATTCTAACTTCCACATGTTGTGAAGAATATCATAATTACTTTGAAGAAACATCATAAAGTAAAGTTAAAATAAAATCTAGTCCTTTCTCAGTGTAAAGCTCTGTAGAACACGATAACCTTTTACATCTGAGATGCAGTACAAAATTAACTTTATCAGCTTCGCGTTCTTTTATGTCATTAATTATATAGGATGGTAAAGACTATATTCCACTGAACATCACCTTGTGTCCTGATGGAGAATCTAACACCAAAACTTGCCCTGTGGAAGAAAACTTGAACAACTGTGTTAATCGCTGGAGTGCGGTAGAAACTGGGTAAGAAAAATATATATGGGGGCAGGAGGGGGAGAAAGATTTGATATATCCAGGCGCTGTCTGTTATCCTCTCTCAATACAGCTGTTTTAAAAGAATTGGACAGACAAATTTGTCAGGGCATTGTTTATTAGTTACAAGAGATGAAAAAAGAAAACTGGTCCAGGAAACTGAGCGGTGTCAGGGATGTTAATTGAGCTACCAAGTGGCGCAGCATCTGCCTGGGTTTTATGCTGACCCCTCAACTTTCTTGCTTTCAGTAACAACAGCAAGAAGCGACCACTGAGTGTGAAGACATTTGATGAGGTGCCAGTAGAAAAGGAGAAAGTGATGCATGAGGTAAGTGAGGTGACTGAGTCCTTCTCCACCGGGTTCACAGATCACTTGTCACCAGCACCAGCAACACTTAGAGCTTTGGAAATCTGTTTGGTAAGAAAAAATTTTAAATCAAGCAGAAGATTTGGCCCTAGCATCTCACATATATCTGTGTGACAACAAAGAAGGACCTGCATTTAGCTTAACAAATAATTTAAAGAGAAGCTCGTGTATGGTTATGCTGTCTTTGATCAGGCCAGGGGGCTTTATATTATATATTTCAAAATGGTTTTTCCACCAAAAGAAAATGGCAGTTCATTGAAATGGAGCCCTTTCGAAGGAAATGTGTCCAGAACACATTCTGGCTGGCTGAGACAGCCAGTAACTTGGTGGTGGTGACAGTGGTCAGTTCTGGATAGGCAAGACCAAGATTCAAGTTCCTGTTCTACTTGATTCACACAAAGGACTTTAACCCTGGATTTTCCACACCCTAAGTGAACATATTTATTGCTAGTTTAATGGCACTGCAGGGAGAAAGAGTGTTGAGAGGTTTAATTTTCACTCCAGTGGAAAACAAAATTTTGGTTTGTTACAGAATGATGGTTCTGCTTGTTGTCTTCCTCTGAAATTACAGATTTCAAAGGTGGAGGGGTTTCTTGAACCTCTGTGGTTCAGGTACTCAGTGGCTGCAGTGCCGTATGCAGCCCACACCACTTCCCTCAATGACAGATTCTGTGCCACTAAGGAGGGATCTTTGTAACACAGGCATATATGAAGGAGATTGAAGTTTAGGGAAGAAGCATGAAGACCTCAGGAAACTGGAAACGTTTTAACAGAGGAAGAGGTCAAGCATCAGATGGCTAGGAGCAGCAAAAGAAAAGAAAGATGTGCACAGTCTTATAGAAAAAAGTCAGTTTGTCTACTCTGCTAGTCAGGGAACCATCCCCCATGCTCCAGCGAAGAGTCCCTCTTGGACAGAGCCATTCCTCAGACTAACTCTCCTGGGAAGGGTCAAGTCTCTCGCTACAACTTGTCCTGGACACGTTTCATGTCCTCGACAAATACAGGGTATTTCTCATCTGTTCTCTTGTTAGCGCAAACTGATGCCCATTATTCCTTAGTATTTTGCAAGATGTAATTTCTGTGCCTTTATCAGTACATCTTAGGGATTAGAAGGCTTAGAATTTTCTCTGGCTCCTGCATCTTTCCTCTTGCAGGATAAAAATCTGTTCCTCTGAATCACACAAAGACATTTATTAGATAGATCTGCTATCGGTAAGAGATTACTGCTGCCAGCATGAGCATTACTTTCCTAAATGCTCCCTGTTCATGGCATTTTAAAGTAAGTCCCTACATGAAGGGGGAAAAGTTTCCAAAAAATGGTAATAATAAATTAACAGATCCGAAATAAATGTGATATTTCAGTGAGGATCTTTTAAAGCAAAATTATGGTGTGATCTACTTTTGGACAAAGTAAGTGCACTTGGGTTACTAAAATTATCTTAAATATCAACAAATTAATTCTGATTGGGTCATTATTTCAAATAGTTGTCCAGAAACTCTTTAAGTGCTCAACCACGCCTTCCTGCAATTGTACTACTTATCTGTAGTCTCTGTTGATACTCTTTTAATAATCTTTCTGTAAGCAAAATGCAAAGCAGCACTCAGATAAATTGTTTCTAGACCAGACATTTTAAGGGAAAATAATCAAGATAAAAATCAGAGAGAAAAGCTGGGTTATACAGAGGTTTTTACAGATGTAATTAATTTAGGATTTTACTTTATAAATTGAAAACTAGTTTCTAGACTGATCTTATTAATAACTGATAAATTACCAAAGCGCTTCTAAAAAGGCTTTTGCTATTTATTTATTGTTTGCTGGGATTGTTTTTTCTGTTTCAATCAGTTTGACTGGTAAAATAAGACTAACTAGAGTTTCACTTCCCACGTTGAAGTCTTTTGCTTTCTTGGTTTTGACAAACAGACAGACATGCAACTTTCCAGCAGCACAAAATACCTCAAATGCAAAGAAACTCCCTAGAACATTTAATATTTTTAAAATTACTTAAAACACGGACTGCACGTCTGTGACCTTGTGTAGCACTTGGCACAGTAACAGCTTGATCTTAATTGCAACCTTGAGACTCAACTTGAAGTGCAGCAGAATCTTTGAAACTAATCAAGACAGTTTTGTTGGACAGCTCATCTAAAAATCCATAACCAAAGTCTGACAAGCCTTTCAGGCTATATATCTTTGCAAAGCACTTGGATTTGCCAAAATTATACTGAATTTCCACTTCCTTGAAATTTCAGTGTTTCTAATAGTGTATTTCTAGTAGGCATTTAGGGTACTTTTTCTCTGAGGAACCTAGCCAGTATTATTCGATACAGTCTTTATGAATTTCTGTCTATTCAGATCTCAGCTATCCTATCTAGATGGTATCCAATATATCATGCTTAATATCAATTTCAAATTTGAAAATGTCAAATTATTTTTTGATATGTTCTTTTTAAGGGTGCTCTTTCAAAACACAGACCAAAAATTTTATCATCACAAGAAAAAGGCAAATCCTCTTAGGCTAAATAGCAGCATTATCAGGAACATTTGGATAAAAACTGAAAATATAGGCCCTGATAACAGAATATTCTGAAGAATGGGCTTCATGTTATATACCAGCTGGACATATCTATGTCTTATGTTCTCTATGTTGCATTCTCCTGCCCTTGCTTTGTCTGCTCTGTAGCTGAAGACAGTTTTAGACGGTGAAATTCTATTAACGTGCCTAAAAGCAGTATCATCACAAAATAAGATAGCTGGAATTTGGTATTCTAACTAGCTCCTTGGCTTTCCTTCTCTACTGACTTTAACAGTGGTTTAGTCTGACTCTTCTCCACACTCGTCCCATGGAAGCCATTTCTAAGCTCCATGCTGTCACGATCATTTGGCACTCTGCTGATATTCTCTTCCTTTTGCTACTCAGGAGTCGGACAGTGGGATGGTGTTGACGTCAGATGAGATAAAAAGCCCGAAGAGGCTGGAAATCCGTTCTTGGCCTTATGGGATCATGGCTCTAGCGTGAGTACTTTTTGGTATTTCTTTTTAAGACCTTGTCCCATTCAGAAAAATGCTTCTGAAATGTGCATTTTGTTTCTGATTCCAAAAGGAAAACTGTTAGATGATCTAAACAAGCTAGAAGGAGAAACAACTCTGGATTTCAGTCCTATAGCTTAAAAAACAGGAATAATGTATTTTAAGATCAAGAAAGTTATAATGTAAACTTTTCTTCCAGAAAGAATTTCAACATAAAACCAAGCTGCAAGTCTCTGAAAGGAATGCTGCACTGTTGCATTTAAGCTACAGGAAAATTAATTAACATGAAAAGTGTTGATTCACATGATAAAAATGAAAACTCATTTCATCAGCTTTGAGCACATAATGTCTCGTCAATCAATTTAACTCTTCTTCCAAAATGCCAAGTTGCCTTGTGATTCTGAATCACATTCAAAAAACCCAAAAGAGTGCTCCCTTGTGAAGCTGGTGTCTCCTGGTCATGATCTATCTCCTGGGGCAGAATATTCTGCACATAGCAAATGACAGGAGCAAAATTGCTGAGAATATACATATCTACTTTAGCTGTTTCTTGACAGCCTCTTCAGTGTTCTCCTTTACTGATGGAACAAAATTTGAAGATCTTGATTTATCCAGAAAATAACATTTATAATTATACTAGTGTCTAACAAAGCTATGTCTAACTTTATGCATACAGAAAGACTGGCACCTTTGCAATTCACGGGACATGAGAAAAGTCAAAAAGGCATGTATAGTAAAGAATAGTGTAAGCACTGCAAAGCAAGTACATTTACCAGAACCGTGATTTCTACATTTGCTTTATCATAGCTATGAACTCAGGCCTACAGAGAAGTCCCTTAGTCCTACCACTTTCATGACCCTATGAATTACATTGTTCATATTAGGTTTACAAATAGAGGCTGTGACAGTGTTTGCTATATGTTTGTCCATTGGTAGTACAGACAATCACAGAATAAAAGCAGGTATTTAGCTTTTAGCTAACAGTTAGCTCACAGTTCTGTATGCTTCTGTAATGATCAGGCACGGGGAGAGAGTTGACCTAGTAGTGAAATAGGACTTCACCTTCCTAGAGATGTATAACAACAGTGACCCAATTTACTGATTTAATGTCAAGTTGTAGAATTTCGAAGAGTAGCTACCCAAAATATTAAAAAAGAAACAATTCTGTAGCAAGGAATTTCACGTCTATTCAGTTAATTAAGCTAATTAGACTTTTACTGAATTGCCTAGAGTTTTCTCTGAAATCTATTGATGACATTTCTATTAGTTTCCTCTGTTAAGCTCAATTACCTTTCCCACCAGAGCAATTGCCTGTTCTACATCAAGTCACCATTTTTCTACATTAAAGAGAAATGATACATGAGAAAAAAACAGGGCATTTTCTGCATAGTATGGCTCCACATTCACACAAGAGTGCATAGTCAGAACGTAACAGTATTTCAGAGGGTCTAACTCCCTCACTCGGAGAAAAAAGTGAGATGGAAGGAGCTTGCCTTGTCTTTTCAGGCCTTAAACCCACAAGTTCCTAGATGTTTGAAGGCAGGAGAGAAGGAGAAAGAGGAAAAGGGAAAAGGTTACATAAGGAAGGCTAGAGAGCCTTGCAGCACTAACAGGGAGCATTCAAACGCTACAGATTCTGCTGGGTAGGGGTGTGACTTCAGGAATAATGTTGTTCAGCAGTATTTCCCCTGTGGTACCATCCCAGCGTTGTCCCTGTTGGGGGATAAGCAGAGATCTAGATATGGTTCCATGTTTTTATCCTATGAGCATGCCGAGAGGATTTCTGCACAGCACAGTGCATTGCTATGGAGACCAAATGGCACCAGCTCTAAAAAAAGGAGCTCACATGTCAGAAACTGCATTACTGTGATGCTTTACCTGAGCTGATTTACCTCTCTTTTTCTGCATGATGTCATGTTGACAACAAATCTAACACATACCCACACACAAACAGCCTCCCTGATAGGGTTTATCCTTCTAAAGATTTCTGTCAGTCACCTCTGACTGCTGTTTCCCCTACTGCATTTCTCCCATTTGGATAAATAGTTGGCAGAGGAAGGTTTTCTCTCTCCCCCCTTCCAGGCTTTCTGCTGAAAATCAGAAAAATCAACATCCAGCCAGATGTAGAAACACAAAAATTCCCTAACAGCCTGTTCTTTCGAGATTTCCAGGAAAACCTTCTGAACTGCTATCAGGCCTCCCGGGAGTGAACATGAAGTAACACGGCTCTGCTGGGTTCAGTGAATCTCTGCCTGACCCACACCAGCTGGGGCTCTCCCCATTTACAGTAACGCTTCCATAGGGATTCCATTCATCGCAAGATACCTGATACTTTCTGACTTTCTGTGCCAGCCAGACCACGAAAGACCATCTTAACGGAGGTCTGCTATGAAAGCAAACCCTGCAGCAAGCTGTGTTTGTTGTCTCCTTATTCCCAGGACCCTAGCTACCATTGAATGGACAGAGGTGTGTTTTTTCTTGGCCACATTCTTCACTGGGTGTTTGAAGTCCAGCTGAGAAAGCTATTTTGTCAGCTTCTTTTTCTTTTTTTTTTTTTTTTTAATCTTGCAGACTATATCGGCACAAATAACATTTTTATCATAGTCGCAGAGCATCCTGATGCCCTCTCATTTGAGGACATGACACCCCTTGGCGTTCTTGCATTGCTAACTTGAAAAACAAGCCTCAAAAGCATATAGAATAGTCTAGTAGAGGTCAGAAGAGAGTGCTGGTTTAATAGGGGAGATAAAGTCACCCTTGTTAATTGTGTATCTCTTTCTATCAGAAACATTTACTCTGGATCCCTTTCAAACAGTCTTTCTTTTCTAAAACAAAACTGTTCAAAGGCTTAGCATGTTTTCTAAACCAGGGTGGTTGCGTTTATTATTTTTGCCAAAATCTTGCTGTTTATTTATCTTGTATTCATTTCTCTGTCGAGTTTAAAATTTGGCAACACTACACACCATGAAGTGTCACAGTGTCAAGAGTTTATTGAAGATGAATCTGATACTCTGGGCCTGGGACCACTGTTAGACTGGACCAACCATTTCGGAGCTCTAAGCATTTTATACTGCTGAAATACAAAATCACAACAGTAGCTGTAGTGAGAGACAGAAAGATTGACCAGGATAATGACACTGGAGTTAGCATTCAAGGAAGCACATTCAACATAGAGGGGATTTAATAATGGGATGACTCTGGTGTCAAGTTTCATCTCGTAACATTAACAGGCTGCTGCCAAGCACTGCTTTAAAATTCTCCCAGAGACTGTATAATCGAGTTATTGTTTAAAATTATAATAGGTTCGATATCCGCTCAGTTGTCCTCCCTTCATCCTCTTCCTTTCTCTCCCCAACCCAATAAACCGCAGTTGCTCTGAAATTACTTATCTGGTTCTGGCCAAGTCCCATGACACCAGCTGACTGAGGCTCTGCTGATACGCTCTGGGCTCGAGATGCTGCATCCAGATCACATCACTGTGGGCTCTGCCTTTGTCAGAGCCAAACTACGCCTAAGGCGAGTCAATAATACTGAAATAAATTCATTTTGCTCAGGAGCATCAGGCACTCATGTCCAAATGCAAGGTGCCGAACAAAAATGCAACCCAGCTGACTGGGCTAGAATCCTTCTACACCATCTCTGAAAAAAAGAAGCAAGGAAATATGTTTGCTCCACAGTAGAACTTAGCTTCAGAAGATTTTTCTTTTATGATGAGCACACTGAGATAGCAAATGTACTTACTGTTGTGTCACGGAGCATCTAGCACTATGACCTGACCGGAGCTCTCCGAAAAATAAGTAATTTTGAATGAGTAGCTACTCGGGAGTTATGTAAGCCACTCTTTTCTAGGATTATACTATATACTTACGGTGGCAAGGACTAAAAGGAGAACTGTGAAAGGCTGTGGTCCCCCACATGGTTTTGACTGCAGTGCTTTTCATCTCACTGCATTTTGAGTGCTGGAGCTAGTGTCAGGGATGCTGACCAAGTTGCCACACGTGCAAGGGAACACATACTTAATGAGTGGGTGGCTTTGGCCTGTTAAAACTTTATGTTAGCTGTACTTTGTATTTAGAAGTGTTCCAAAAAAATTAATTCTTCATTCTAACCCCTTGAGTTTTCTGTGCCAGATTACTGATGCACTGATACAGCCAGAGGGGAGCCCAGGATTAAATTCTTACTGCACAGCACCCCATCTAAAACGTATTAAAGCAAACTGTGAATCAGTCACACCTATCAAAAGGAAAAATAACCCTTTTATTCCATTCATTTCAGAAAAATTAAAAAAAATTAATCACTCTTACTCTGTGCCTCATTAAACACCTATGAAAGCTGTTACAAAGCCCTGCAGCTCCTACATGTTATTATGAGATGTGGTCATGAGACAAACGGCTCTACTTGGCAACGCTCTCAGCCCAATTCCTCATCCTTCCCTAAACACAGCTTCTGAACAAGGACAGGATTTCTACATGGACACCATAGTCTATTAGTTTTTCCTATTAAGGGCATGATAGTCAGGCATCTCATTGCAAAGCAGTAAGAGCTGCTCCACAGCACTGGGAATAAGTGCTGTACTTGGTACTGTAGTTCCTCACTGGATAGGGTGATTTTCCTACGGTTATCTCTCTTTCTCCGTGCTCCTCTTCAAGTCACTGACTCTGAGATTTAGGCTAATAGAAACTGGCTCCCTCTCACATAAAATAAACAGCTCCAGTAATGATTTCCCAGCTCGTTGATGATTTCAGTATTTTTCTACCTCTAACCAAAATCTCTGGTTCATACAGTAGGATGAAAAAGTCTCATTAGGTCGTTTAGGCCTTCTAGCTCTTACAGGATTATCCTCTGGGGTATCTTCTAAACAACTCTGACACTTATACAGAAAACTTAAAAGAGATTGTGCAAGATTGCTCAATATTCAGGTTAACTTTTCCTTCCTCTAGTTTAATTCCCAGACTTTTCAGCTTCATCTGTACCAGGAAATCTGACAGCAACTGCTAATGGCTGTCACTACCCACAGGACCACACTTGTCCAAGCTTGCGTCTGGGTCATGAGATCTACTGACTATATTGTGGCCCCACACGGACACACTGCATGTGCATGCGGTAGCACAGAGCCCAAGCTCTGTGATAATCAGACTGCTTGACACAACCCTCTTTACAGACCCGGCAGGCTTTCAGTTGTCAACACTGGGTCCACACCAGTAGGTTCCTCCACCTCATTTGGTTTTACATCTAACAGACTCAACCCTGGCAGCAGGCTCAGGGACTCTATAGAAATACAGCCTGAAGTGGAGCAGGATTTGCTGGTAATTACAAATGTCATTCCTAGTTGATTTGGTGCTACCGATTTGCATTCTTCTAATCATCTAGCATTGGTTCCTCCAGCGCATTCATCACTTCTATACTTCCCCCCCATAATCCTCCCTAGCTTGTAGTTATCTTTCTGAAAGAGAGAAGTCCAGTGCTGTGACTTGGCCAGCTCTAGTCTCAGCCTATGAAACAAAGCTGAAGCCAGCTCACCACATCCTGCGAAACATGTTTCGCCAACCAGCACCCCACAGAAACGTGCACATTATGAAAAAGGGTCCTTTAGGTTACAAAATCTGTTTGAGGTCAGGAAATGGCAGTGTTCAGATTCTCATCCTTCCCCTTATCCTGCCTCAAAAGGTACACAGTCTTGCAAGGACAAACGAGTATTCAGGTTGATGATTATGTAAAATGTACCAGCTCAGGCCAGGAGCAAAAGTGTTTCAGTTGAATGTCATGGTATTCACACAACTAATCTTCAGGATTGTGCTGTGGTGAGAATACTAACGGTCAGGTGGGACTGGGCTGAGACATTCACAGTTATGAGCAAATTTATCAAAACTGAACATCTCTTTTATCGCCTCCTGCAGCTGCAGCACTCAGAAGTCAGGCAGAGGCAAAATCAGTAAGGAAATACCTTTTGGGGCAGTGAAATGCCAACCCAGGAGAAACACTGAGCCAAGTAATGGCTAGCTTTTAATGAAATTATTTAATTACATAACCATTATTAACTTCTGTAGCTGCATAATTGTGTGATCAATCAAATCTAATGCCTTCAGTCAGAAAATGTTTATCAGTGTGGCTCAGGGAGAATTTTTCTATCTTGTACAGGGTAGTACAATTGGCTCAGAGCAGAAAGGGGTTTTTGCTTTCCCCTGAAAGTACTGACCACTGCCGGAGGCAAGAGTGATGTCTGATGCAGCGTGGCAGTTTCTACGTAGCAAATGAGATTTCAAGGACATACAGAAAAGGCATGCTGCAGTCTTGTTTTCCAATATTCAGTCCAAGCATATGTACATTTCTCTGTTGCTGAGCACGAACAGACTAGAATGAAATGTCAGTAATATAGAGCATTAAGGGGAAAAATGCAAAGACCCTTGGATAGCTTTAATTTAGTAAGTGCATTTAGATGAAAGGAATAGTTTTGAAAGTTAATTGCATTTCGATCTGCCATAAGACATCTAGCGACAAAACTTGCTTCTGACCTAACTTATCAGCTTTCTGTCTTTGGAGCAAGTATTAGATGTCAGCATTTAAGACTGCTTCTTCAAACACCAGCACGGTTTAAGTGATAGATAGAGTCATTCCCAGATACCCAGGCTCCTGACCTACAGGGGCAGAAACCTAACAAGAACACTTGCTGGGAGTCTACATGGGTCTGAAGATTTCCCATTGTGTGACCAAATGAAACCCTAATAACATTTCTTTTTCTCCAGCATTCTGAGATATGCAGGCAGGGGGCAAAGTTAAACAGATACTTTCAAGTTTCCCTCTGTCTCCACTGATGACTAATTCCTGACAAATTAGAAGCCAGAGCATCCATGGAATTGTCTGACATGAGTCAATAAAACTGAACAACAAAAAGGAAAATACATAAATAAACAGTGCTCATGCCAGGGAAGAATTTATCTACAGAGAAAGTGTGTGTGTATCGAAAGGGATAGCTGGCAAATGTATAGTATACCAACTAAATTTCCACTCATGTTTTACTCTAGACAAAGAGGAAAAAGTTAGATTGTGAAACACATTTTTGTTGAAGTTCTCAGGGTTATACTATTTATTTTAGAATTTCTGCTTTGCCACTCAACAGGTTTGGTTTCAATGCCTTGTGCAGGTCTAAAAGCACCGTTACATTAGCTTTAATCTATAATCTCTGCCTTTGCACTTTAGTAGTCACAGAACCCAGGTTTATTCTAGACATGCAAGACATGGTGTGCTGGGTTTTACAACTCAGGGGCTCCGGGTTCATTTCCTAGAGACAAAAGTGGAGATGCAAACATGCTGTTGAGAAGCCACCACAGCACACTAAAACCAGCCTGACTGAGAAGCAGGCAATCTCCCTTTGCAGCTGATTAGAGTTGTAGCTGTTTCTTGTGTCTGAATTTGTCTATGATATGCAGTTATCACCTACTCCACACAGTCCTCCAAGAAAAGAACTACAGAGATAGATAATTCACAGATAGACCCCACAGACTGTTCAGTGTGGTTGTGCACAGATCATAAACCAGTGTTCTGCCCTAGCCAGAGCACTGCACACTCATGACCTTTCCCGAATTAACAAAAATTTTAAGTGACACTAGTTCTGTCAGCCAGACTGACAATATCTGCAGGTTGTGGGAAAAGGGAAGCTTTTGACAGGTTCCAGATTCAGAGGCAATATAACACAACTTCTAAAGTCATAGTAGCGTAACCCAGCAGGACATATTTACCCTTTCATAGTTGAAAGGAGCTGGGCCTACTGGATATTACAGTTCTATCATGCCAAGCATCAACCTGCTCTTAAGCCTGCCGTGGTTCCCTCTGCTGCAGCATCACAAAAACATGACAGCACACACAGCTGGTGTCTTGGGTCTGCTACTTTTCCTAGTCATGATTTTTGTTTCCCTTCCTTCAATTACTGAACCTGTCTCTTAGCTATCGCTTTGTTTCCTGGAGCAGGAGCTGGCTTTGCTTTCTTTCTAAAGCACCCCACTCTGAATCCATGATCAACTGCTGGGGACTGTAAACACTGCAGCAGTACAAATCCAATAAGTGTAATGAATTATACAATTATTTGATGAACTATTGATTATTCAGATTTGGTTTACAGTCATTAGAATGTAGCTTTATGCTATTTTAAACACATGAAGTACACGCACAAAGTGCTTGAGCACTGTCTGATTTCAAGTTCTCCCAAGCACATTCAGAAGCCACTCCGAATTGAGACATGAGCAATGCCATAATCAGTCTGAGTGAGGCTTATCCCAAAGAGATGCACGTTAAAGGGGCCCTAGGCAAAGTAGAGAAGCTCAAAACCCATTCTCACATTGCGATACTTTTGAGAACCAACTCTGAATTATCAGATCTCTTCCGGTGAATTCCTCAGATAAAAGAAACCAAGCTTAACAGAACATTATTTTTAAGGCAGTCTATGACAGAAAGTACCTTTTTTTTCTCCACAACACTTGCTGTTCCTCAAGGTCACCTTGTGATACAAATCGTCTCCAGGGTTCTCCTACTTTTAACATTGAGGTTGCTCCATGCGATGCACATTGCTTCTCTCCCACCACCTTCATCACGTATAATAAGGGAAGACAACAGAAAATGAAAGCTGGCTCTCTCTAATAGCATCAGTTACAGACCAGCAGTTGTAATGTTGAAAAGCACTGCCCTTCACTAGCATACTGCTCAGTAATTATAAAGGACTAGAGAATATAAGAGAGATTTTGCCCTACGCTGTAAGAGTGTGTTGAACACACACTCTTGCGTGCAGCATCATTTTAAATTAGAGTCTGTCAGAGATTATTCATTATTTCATCCTTTATTACATTTAAAGAAAAGTCATAGCCTTCAGTTCTGCTTTCAAAAAAGTCAGATTTTTACTGGCCTGTGTCAGAACAGTGAGAGAGAATATTACTACATGTATAGGACAGGTATGTGGTAAGCTAAAAAGACAGGGCAACAGGACTCCTGGATTTACTCCTAAATCTACTTTAAAAACACTGAGTTATTTGAAATACCTAATTCAGTTCCCTTACACAATTTGTTAAATGTCACTGTCTTACAGGATGCTGCAAAGGTAATAGAAATGCTTTATATCTAGACTTATTTTTTTGAATAATTTTGACCATTAATTACACATAGAGACAAAACCTTGTGGAGACAGGGTCAATATATTCTGCTCTCTGTTCTCAACAGGCGGAGAGCTGTTAGCAAGAGCAAAGAATCCATATTATCTGATCATGAGCGTGAGTCTGTCAAATACCAGCCGGCAGTACAGGTAGAAGAAGACACCATGGACTTCACACTGGAAGACTCTGTTCTCCTTCCTATGGATCCAAACCTGGAATGCCACAGCCCACCTCCGGATTACAACTCCGTCATTCACTACTCAGCCCCTCCGGTGTAATCAGCCCAACCCGACACAGCATCTCGCACCTCTCAACCATGCCTGATCCTTACACACCTCCATGCCCGGATAAGGAGGCTGGGTAAAAACAGAAGGGAAATCTGACAGGACAGTGGTTCATATGTTTCTTCTGGCACATCTCTGATGTGAACAGAAACATTTTAAGGGCATTTTCTTTCTACCTTTAAAGGCCTATTACAACATATGCAGTAAATTAAAATTCTGTTTATCAGAATCATAAGTGGGAGCTGTAACCCAGAACTGCTTGCACTTCTTCCTCCCCTAGCTGGGTGTGTTTATTGACATTTGCAGATTTACAAGTTCCTTCATTCACATTTTATTCCATAAGAGTCATCAAGAGTCTTGTCAAGCTAGTTGTGAAAACAAGTTTCCTTCTACTGGTCCTGCACACATCCTGCAGGGATTGTTTAGTACGATGCTGTAAGGGATCAGTTGAAAACAACAGCCATACACACTAACGCTTTGGTTTTAGAGAAAATCCAAAATTGAAACATCATTCTTAACTTGGGACCTCATCTTCCATAAATATTTCTGAAATATTTTTAAATCCAAAATATTTTTGTTAAAATTGGTGATTTAATAATTTCTACTGCCTATAGAATACACTCCTAAAAATGATATGGCCCAGGGAAAGCAGATGGTATTCATGTATCAAGAGGCAGACTAGCCTTTTGGGCCATCAGGGCATACGACGTGGTTAAATCTGTTTCCTTGTGTTTTCTCCTTGTTCAAACAGCAATTTATTTAGCATAGGTGCAATAGGAAACCTTGATGGAGATGCATCTGTAACGAGCGCAAGGCAAAAGCACTGCCTTAAATAAGAACCTTCTTAAGCTTAAACAAACAGAATTTCCCAGCACACATGCACATATTTGTGTGAATCTGCATAAAATACTCATTAACAACATGAGAGTTACACATAAATGCACATACACCCTTGAGGCACCAGCAGGGTAGCAGCATTTTTATGTTTCCTTTCTGCACACAGGCTATTTACTAAAAAGCAGAAAAAAAAAAAAAAGAAAAAGGAAAAAAAAAATTTCCTTTGGATTCTGTGGCAAATGCCCAACAGATTGATCCTGGGAATTCTAGCCCATGCTAAACTGTAAGCAAATGTGACACACATTTGTCTCTGACTGTCTTGCCAAGGTAAATATTGGTAGGATATGCAATGACCTCTAGCAGGACTGAATCGACCAAATTCTCACATTTGAGAAATCTGTAGTGTGTTTTCCCCCCGCTCAAAAGCTGTGCATGGCAGGGACTTTTGGTCTGCAAGTATGTATAGCCAGGTTCCACACATACCCACAACGAATTCAGAAATAAGAAAATAATTCTTGTCATTTAATGTGCTATGTAACTATCAGAGCTGACTTCAGAAATCTAGGAAGGGAAAAAGTACCTAGGGTTGCAAGCAGAAAAAGCAAGGATGAGAAATATATTCATTGACAGTCAAGACTATATCGTCCTCAGTTATAAACCTCGATCTATAAATGACTGTCTGTGCAGGTTCCTCCAAGGTCTGCATAACCCTTTCCTTTTCTTAGACTTGACACTGATTTGACTTCTTCAGAGAAAAATAATTTTTCTTCATGATTACAAACTAAAAGGAAAAAAAAAAAAAAATCCAGCACTTGCAAAACAATTATATTACCTTGGTGAAGACAGCCTAGACACGCTGGCAGCAGTGAAGAAAACATTTCTGGTTGGTTACATTGAAGTAAACACAAACAAGCCTCAGGAATTATTAAAGGGAGAAACAAATCTCCAAACCCCACACCATGTTTACTGTGAATGCTAAAGCATCTGAAGCATGGGCTCTCGGGAACTGCACTTACTCTCCTTAAGATTCAATGTACTAAGGAAATCACCTGCAGTAACTCACGAGCCCCTTGTTCGTAGTGGACCTGCTAGATAGCTGTGGTCTGTAGTTGCTCTATAGTCATTTTTGCACTTCTTTATGTTTTAGTACCTATGTATTAAGTAGAGCTGGCTATATAACAGAAGAAACTACTGGGAAAGAATTCATCTGATGAGCACCAGGAAGCTCACTGGATCAGTTTGTCATCAAACACTAAATTAACTATCTATAGCTCTGATCAAATAATCAATCACTTCTTTTGGAAATAATTTATTCACATGGCAAAAAGGAAAAAAAAAAAAAAAGAAAGAAAAGGTGCAGAAAGTTTCTTGACTTTACTCTTAATGGCATCAGTGTGAGATGGTTTGTTATTGCACCTTGTTCTGTAGGCTAAGAAAACAACAATGTTTAAAAACCTTTGCTTATAAACTTTAAAATAAGTACATATAGGGAAAAAAACCTGCAAGTATGCTCTCTATTTTGAAAAAGAATAGGAAACACTGCTGGGTGAGCTGTCTGCTTCTAAAAGAGCCGAGAAGATCATCTTTCCACTTTATGAAGGCTGAACAGTAGAGGCTTCTCGGCGACCAGAGGGACATGGAGCATGTTTCCCGAGCGGGACCCAAGCGGATGCTGACGGGGCGCCGGTAGCCAGGCCCCTCGCTGGCTCTCCGCATCGGTCAGCCTCTCTGCACCGCGCGACGGGATTCGAAAGCAGAGCACAGGCTCGAGTGCTCGAGATGCATTTTAAAACACTGGTGGCATTGCCAGCCCCCTGAAAAGTGAGGGCTCCTCGGCAGTGGCAAAACCAACAGCCGTCTCCAGCAGTACGGTTGGCCATTTCTTCAGAGAGCAAAGATACCCTCCGAACCCGCGGTAGTGGCCTTCGACTGTTCTGGAAATGGCAAGTGACTGATGTTTGGGCAGCTGTGTTTCCAATGTTTATTTTGAGTGGAAGATTTTCTTCTCTTTATAGTAAATGTAACAAGCAAAAGTATCACCTGAAAAGTATTATTGAACATGTCTTCTATTTTATTTACTAATATTTTGTTTGTCATTTTCTCTCCTCCCTTAATTTAATTATTGTTCTTTTCTTACAACGATGTATATAGTTTACCCAGTAGAAACAAATATAGTGATTCATTTATATGGTAAAATTTGTAACATTTTAGTCAAAAGAGAAAGAGATACCCAGACATAACAGAGTTAAGTATTGTTACTAAACATTTCACTAATGCTTGCAGGCCAGGCTCCAGTTTACAGTACCCTACTAGTGCCATTTCATAACAGTTCTCTTGGCTGTGAGTATCTCTGGCTCTCATTTATTCTCCACATTATTTAGTTTCAGTTAGAAAACAGGGATCTGGAGGAATCTGGCAGTTTATCTCATTCCTGGAAGTGTCACCATGCAGCTCATGGTAAAGGCGAGAAATTTCCACTGTCTCTGTTTTAATTGAAGGCCGGTGTATTGGCTAGAGGATCAGAAGGGGCCAAATTGATTAAATGATGTGATGTTTATTATTTTTTCAGACTTCTCAGGGATTCTTACTCGACTCCTGTCAGCCACCTGCTTTAGCTAACCTGACTGAGCTCAGTGGTATCTGGTATTAACACGTACCTTAGTTTTCTGTAATGGTGCTTGCTCCTCCTGGTTTTGTCCTTTTGTAAGCCCAGAGAACTAGGGCAGAGGAACTCAGAGCTCACCACAGAAATGTGTTGCCTTCTCTCCAACAATCACCTGCCACATAGGTGTCCAAGGATAAGTGCCTTCACCTGCATGTTATTGTTCAGGCTGGTGTTTTTAACAGTCTGGTTTCCTATCTCCTCTTTTCTCTACTTTTCATCAATTTCTTGATATTTGTTCTTCACAGTCCCTGTGGATTGCTTTTCTCCGCCTTTCAAATCAGATCAGGTATAGGACTCATTTCACTCTGCTATTTCATGTATATTCTGCACTTGCAGAGGCTGAACTAGATAATGTAAAGCAAGCTTTTTTCACATTAAAAATTTTCCAATAGAGGCAAGGGAAACTAGTTTATATTGGTTTGTCTGGAAGCCTCTCTGTATCCTTCCCTGAATGAGAAAAGCTTTTTAATCTATTGATTTTTCAATATTGCTATCTGAAGCATAGCAAATACTGGTGACTATCTATGTGAATCTCATTTTTCTCCTAGTTCTTTCTCAAACAATGAGGTTTCTCTTAGGTTCTTCCAAGTTATACTCACAAGAAGGGGGTCCTAACAGGATGCTGGGCCCACAGCATCTACTCAGGATATCAAGGAAGTTCGGATAAAATCCTAAAGCCTGAATAATAGTCTCAAACAAAACCACTGAAATTTGAACCCATTGAATTTAGATCTATGCATTTAGGGCTACCTGCAGGCATATACTGCTCTGCTTAAGATATCCCACTAATACAAACACTACTCCAGTTAGCCTGCTTGGCAAACGCCGTGGGTAACCTAAAGTGTCCAGGCACTTCTCTCTTTGGTTTTATGCTCTTGTGTACTGTAGGATTCTTAGTCGCCATGTAAGCCTGTAATTGGCCACTCAACAGTTGATGACTTATCTTCTCAATGATCCTTCACGTGGAGTGTTGGCACTGCCTCATCATATCTTCTCTTGCTTTACAGATTTGATCTGGCCCTATTCCAGCTGTAAGGCTGTGGTCTTGGCTCAATGGTCTCTAGATCCCACCAGTACAAACTGGACAACACCAGGAAATTTGCAGGGAAAAATCACTAGCAAATAGCTACATAACAAGATAAAGCATTGTTGGGTTTTCCTGAACACAGGAGTTACCCAGGATCAATACCATACTCAAAGATAAGCTTTTTTTTTTTTTTTTTCTTATCATAAAGGGAATGGAAAATACAAAAGGTAGCAATAATTCTTTTGTCCCTCCCTGCAAACAGTAATGGCCAAACCCTGGGATCCATTTTCCTGTTTTTATACTAAAGTCACAAATCAACCAGAAAGAATTTTGCCAAAGTAATGACACCAGTACCATTTTATGCAAGTAAAATTCAGGGAGGACTTCTGGATTTGACCTTGTCAAGAGTCAATCACTGTATAGGATGTAGGTGTTGAGCCCAAGCACTGGCTTGTTTGTTTGACACATGTTGTTTCCATATTACATTAACACAGAAAACTTGTTGGACTGGGTCATTTGGGACCTCAGGCAAATATGATGCCATAAGGGCCGTGGTTACAGGAAGACTATTGTGGTATGCACCGAGCAGTGTCCCCTTGTCCTGCCTAAGAAGCCCCTTCCACAAGAGCCAGCACATCCTTATTACTCAATTCATTTTTCCTTAGACCTTGAGTTGTCAAAGCAGCTAATGAAAACTGGGAAAAACCCAGTAACTTGGGACTTAAAGAAAATAAACTAAGTGCCATGTAACACTCAAAACACTAAGGAATGTTTGTCTGCCATGTTCCTGTTTGTCTGAAGAATGTATGCACTGAAAACAACGCTTTCTTATGTAGTCACAAATTGTACTGTATCTATTAACCAAAAAAATAAAAAGATTCTATATTTATACAGCCCAGGGCTCCTCTGTGTCATCTCTTGGCTTGAAAAGTATTGTCCTTGAAGCAGAATATAAATAAATAATGCAACAGTTCTGAAAGATTTTTACAAGGCACAGATCTCATATTAATTTCTGCAGGGGGTTCAAAACTTAGGACATAAGCCTGCCACTGTCATCGCTCAGAGGTATCTAACCACTGCATTTGCTTAAAAGAGTCACAGATGAAAATGCTGGCCCAATTTGCTGGAGAAATACACAAATCTAGCTGCCGCCAAGAGCAGTCCATGAAACACAAAGACTGCTGTCTTGTTAAATTTTAAATAAATAAATAAATTGGGCTGAGATAAAAGATAGAATCAGAATTCTGCATTCTAAATAAGACCCATGTTCACCAAACCATGTCAGTACCTAAGTCGGTGAAGATAGTTTGCAGAACATGGTAGCATCTGGGGGTTGTTCAGATTTAAATTTCCAGAAACTGTATTTCATTTCGCTTACCATAATACTCTAAAAAGAACACAATTAAATAAATATTTCCCAATATACAGCCACAATGATGTTATTGAATTCTCACTCAAATAAACTCTGCACTGTCGAAATATAGAATATTCCATGCTCTTATTATGTAGTTAAGGTTTAACATTTAGAAGACTGAGGAAGAAAAATCTCCCAACAAGAGTCAAGTGCAGCAGGCATGTCATTTTCCTTATCAGCTGGCTAATCTTTCTGAAATACTATTTCCCATTCTTCTTTCCAATTTGGTGGCACAGCAGGTAACTACTGGCAGAAAAAATATGAGATCTTTACAGATTTTTAACAGACTGACAAATACTAGTTTCTACTTATGTCTTAAAATAAATACTGTTATTAGAAAAGAAGTGTGTTAGAGTTTCAGAGTCATTCTTCCATTAGCACAGTCTTAAAAGTTATTGGTCTGTGTATTTCGCTAGTCACATTAAAAACTATGAAGCACTCAAGTCACTTCAAACATTTTAGTTTCTCTTCATTCCCTGTTCCAAACAGTCCTAGACATAAATGTCTAAATTATACATGTCATTTGAAATGTAGCAATCTCCTTTCATCCACATAATGAACAAGAACATTCTTCTCTGTAAACTATGAAATGTTTTAGTTACTTATATAACATATGAGTCATTGCATGCTAAGAAATACAGAGTCTCCTTTCTGGGGAAACTAATGTATTAAATGGTGGAAGGGAAATATACAAAATTAACTCTGATTTGCTTTTCACACAGAATGTGAATTATTAATCACATACAGCTTGAGTTACACTTGTGGAAGGTACTCTGTTATGGCATGCCTTGGAAAAGAATTTGGGGAAAAAAGTACAACACTAGGAATCAAGAAATGTAAGTTTTAGTTCTTGGCCAGTGTACATAACTTCTCTGTCCCCTACTTTCAGCATATATGGTATAAAAGAAATTTGTTTTTACAGCAACAGCATGTAGAGATGCAAGATCAGAGAATGTCAATCTGAAGTACTGAAACTTGGTGGATAGGGACTAGCAAGAGAAAAATTTGGGAGTAAGATAAACAGATTTTGGGGTGGTCACATTAGAAAGCTGAGAAGAAAATCCAGCTGAGTTCCAGTCAGGTCCTTTGCTTTCTTCCCATAATGAGACTTAACTTATGAGGGTTTGTAAAGTGCAAAGGCTTTGAAAGAGTGGCAAATACTGTTTAATTTTATATGCTTTGTACACAGTGAGGCCCATAAGCAGTAGATGATAATTTTGTCTCACCACCTGTGAAGTAGCCCACGACTTTCATAGGATCTCAGAAGGCATTTTATTGCTGGCTGTTGCCTGTTTGAAGTGACACACTGAATGTCCACTGCTGCCTGTCCTGTAATGAACTTGCTCTGCATAAAGAGTAGATGAAGCCCTACCAGAGCCATAAATATAACTATTATTTTTAACAGTACTGAAGTCAGTTATGGTCAGTCACAATTGTTATTATAGCCTGATGAGTTAAGTATTCATTAGAATCGAGAGAGGAGAAACTGTTCTGTTTAAACTACGTCCTTCTACAGGAACTTAGAGAACTCATAGTTCTGGCAGTTCACTTCATCTTTCCTCATCCACACTGATGCCCAAAGTGAGACCTGTCTCTTCCTTTCCTCACTGCAGAGTCAGTGAATACTTACTCCATATCTGCTAAAACCACAAGGGCAGAGTAACACAGCTTCTAAATATTCTTATTCCATAGTTCTTTCAGTGGCCTTTAAGATAAGGCTGTTGCTCCAAGGAAGTAATAGGGCTGAAGAGCATTTCAAAATACAAGCTGTCATAATATCAAATGCCAAATGTCAAGATAATGAAATTAATGAAAGTACTCCTTATAGTAAGTGGTTGGGTTAGTGATCCACCTTGAACCTCAGCAGAGCTCTGGGAATCATATGTAAAGTGGCATCTGCCAATAGTTAATGACTTTTTTGTCTGCATCAAAACGAAAGATGTGGCGACACTGATCTCTCATACAGAAGTGAAACAAATGTCACACTTACTTTTACACAAGAAGAATAAGTTTGCTACTCTAAGAAAACTTACAGACAATCTTATCTTACAGCTTCATATATACACTTCTGCTTTTTGTTTTTTCACAATGCTGCTCTACTTCACTTGTCAGATAACAAATAGCACTCAGTGTTCTCTCTCATACCGTCATTTATCCATTTATCACACCTAAATAGTGCTACTAGTCATTAGCTAATCACATCCACTATATTAATTGTGAACTATTCCCCTGAACTTCTTTCAGGATCACATTCTTACCATAATCCTCTGGGAGGGCAAATCTCCAAAATCAAATCAAATTTCTAAAATCATGATAGAAAGTTTTTAAAAACCTAAGAAGGTTTGCAAATGAAGCAGGAATTTTATTTCCTCCAGGTCATGTGAGGGAAAGATGACCATGCATCTGTCAATAATACATTGTTCCTTGACTGATTCAGATATGAAAAGAGCGTTTCTCCTTTTTCAACAATTTTTTCTTCTCATAGTTGTTACTGTGCAAACTTCGGAATTTATAGCTTTTCTCTTCTGTCTGTCTTTCTTCCACTGTAACATTGTTATGGAAAAACTCAAACTTGACAGCAGGTAAGATCAAAGAGATCAATAGCATAATGAAGTCCTTGTTTTCCAGCTGAACTAAAAAAATTTAGCCCAGCAACTCTCATCTGTAGGCCTGTGCCTTCTGCCCTTCCAGACTGCTGTGGATGAGCGATAATAGCATGACTTTTTAAAGCCAGGACTACAGACTTCGTGATCCTCAGGGCCAACAGAATAAACCTGGGCACCTCTGGACACTCTACTTAGAGTCACAGTTGTTTATTTTTAAGCTGGACTGTTGTCACAGTGAATTCCTCAAAAACTCAAAGGTTAATTTGTTTTTCATAACTATGCATTAAAAAAAAAAACTAAAACCACAAGAACTTTACTCCTTCCTGGGAGTGTTTTGACCTTTTATTCCTGTATATTTTTCAAATCCTGTCTTCCACTGTTTATGCCCCAAGCTAGAATGTCACAAGCCATCTTAGCACTGAGCAGAACTACAAAGACAAGCAGGGGTAAGGCAAGGAGAGCAGGTGGAAGGGGGTGAGAATCATCAATGTGGTGGATCAAGGTAATGGGCCTCCTTAATCATGTCTATTAAAATATCTGAGGTGTACAGAATTACTTCCTTCTCTTTCCCCACAGCTTCTGAAACAAGCAACAAACCACCCTCATGATACAATGTCAAGATGGAAGGGTAACATGACTTTACAGCCCCATGAAAGGATAGGATGGTGAAACTAAACATTACCTCCCCAAGCACTAAAATAGCTAGATCAAAATCTGAACAGCTCAAAAGACTTCTTGTCTATCTGATGGACTGTTTCCGAACTCCTAGCTGCACTGGAGGTTACATCAATAATTCCTCTTCATAATAATAATTCCTAATAATAATTAATAATCATTATTGTTATTAATTTCTAATATTGACATGATGACTCATAAATGGATCAGATCATTGCACTGACACTTATCCACTCAGCATTCTTCCACTGCTGAACGATACTTTTTCTGGGCTGATGCAACACTGTTTTGCCTTGATGCTAATATTTGAATCTGTGAGATCCCAAATGCCCTCAGGGATTTGTAATAAATGGGACATGCCAACAGATTATTAAAAAAAAAAATCTGAAGTCATTTTAATCTTCATTCCTTCCATTTGTACCATATGTGCTGCTCTTCAAATGATGCTAAGGACAGTTCTGGAGCTGGCCATGATACCTTGCTTCTCTCTGTTTTGTAAGTACCTGCTTTCTACTGGTGCCAGGTCCAGCACTGCTGCATCAAACTTCCTTAAGGGAACTTCCACTCAAACACAGAGCAGCACTGATTTTGCAGTTCTCTACTCAGTGTCTCTGATAACCTACATATAGTCCAGTCAGGAGAAAAAAAGAATATCCCCAGTTAGTAAAGACAGAAAATTAGATTCCAGATGTACCCAAGAACAAATTTTACTTATTCAAAATACAGCCAGAAATTTTCTCTGGACTTGAGCAAACCACAGCTTTTTAAGCAAAAAAATGTGATGTAATACTGCCCTAAATCATGCTAAGTAGTTCCCTCCTCCTAACATTATCTCAAGAGTGGTACAATTAAAACTAATCTGTTTCCTAAGACTTCAGTTAGTAGTTAAGTGTCAGGGAGTTTTTTCATTTAAGCAAGACTAACACCCATCTTTTTTTCCGTTTTAACTTCATTCAGTAAAGAGCAGTATTTTGTAATAGTCTTAAACACTAACTACTGAGTAGTCTGTAAGTAAAAAGAGAAATGGAACAGGGTATGCAAACCCTGTTCATACTGCCCTATTCCAATCTGATATAATGGGAAAAGACCTGAAAAGGGAAAGTAAGTGCTCACGGTAGCTTGAAAATCTATGCAAAGGCAGAAGAATCTTGGTACTGCGACACTAATAAATTTTGCTTGCATCAAGGATTTAGTTAAGTC